CAACAAGAGGCTGTGGAGTTTTTCTTTGGAAGCACGGGTTGGAGGAGAGACTTTACCACCACATGAGAGCCCCAAATCAATCCTGGGGTTCTCACAAAGAAGCTGTAGAGAGCAGAGAGGTAACCCCTCAGTCTCCTTTTTCCTGAACTAGACAAGCCTGAAGTTCTTAGCTGCTCCTCACAGGACGTGTCTTCCAGGCCTTTTATCAGCTTTCTTGCCCTCCTCTGGATGCATTCAAGTACTTAATATCCTCAAATCCTGGGACCCAGAATTGCATACAATACTCCAGCTGAGGCCACACCAACACTAAACATAGAGGGATCATCACCTTTTTGGACCAAGCAGTTATCCTGGGCTGCAGTTTGTGTACCATATTAAACCCCCCTGAATTAAGGCTGCCTGCACCAGAATGTCTGCATAAGAAGTGTTCCCACCACTACTAAATGTTATTACTTAGCATGCCCTTCAAAATGCATGTGTTTCTTCTATTTCCTAAAATCAGGAAATCTGATCACAGGTATCCACCTCCAAGGCACAGGTCCCCCATGGAATCCTAAAGCCCACTTGTTGCAGGGCCCTTGCTTTCAAACATCTGAAGCATAAGATGGGGCTGCCAAGATTGACCTGTGTCAACCACAGAACTGTCCTGTATTCTGAGTCAATGACAAGGAGGACAAAAGAGCTGCTTTGGATGGGATTTCTACGCTCTCATAAGGCCTTGATATTTCAAAGGAAATCACAGACATGACCTGCATTTCCTTGGAGTTCAGGGAAATGCCACCACCTGGATTTTGCACAGGAAGGGGTCAAAAACACGTACTACCCCAGCGAGTCTACCTTCCCCTTTCTTCCCACTTGAAGGGGGATTCCTTGGAAGCTGAGCCTGTCACTTACAGGCTGAGTAGTAGTCAAAGATGGGGTCCTTGCAGAAGGATTTGAAACGCCAGGTCACCACCACGTCTTGCAGCTGTGCTGAGGTGCTGTAGTCACACTTGAGGATGACAGTGGCAAATAAGGTGGTGTAACGCTCGACATCCTGCACTGTCACCAGGAGAGAGAGGCAACCTGCAAACAAGAACACAGGAGGCCGTCAGCCCACAGACTCCTAAGGCCGCCCATCACACCATCTGCACCAGAGCAACCACCCAAGGACATCTCCTTGGGCCCCATCCAGGACCTGCACCTACAGACCTCCCAGCCCCTCTGGCGAATTCATCCAGGGTTACAAACCCTGGTTAGAACAGGAGCCACATCTTTCTCTGACAGAAGAAAGCTTTGTTGGCCCACTTTACAGACTGAATTATTTTCTCCAAAGCATGACTAGCCATTATGCAGCACATCACTCTGTGTTCTCCTTGTACATAATGAAAACTGTCCCAGAAGCACATGGGATAGGACTTCCTTGGCTTTTAATCCTAATAAGAAAATTTCTACAGTGCCTTATGTTTGTATAAACACCAAATGAATTTTGTCAAGGTCTTGCTCAGACACTCATCAAATGTTATCTATTGGTGACCAGGATTAAGACAATACAACTTTCAGGCTGTAGCACTGCAGTTAATTGTTTGTAACCACTTCAGAACAGCACATGTCAATTACCCCCTTTTTTCCTTTTAAATTAAGCTATCATTATGTATTTGTTATGTATTCATTCTAACAAACTCTACAGCACTTTCCATCCAAGCAGCTGAACACACTCAAGGAGGTTTTACACAGCTTCTCATAAGCTATACTGTAGTTCAGCTATACTCCAGAAACTTCTCTATCTTATTTAAACTTTGATAGTACAGTAAGTTGTGCTTGTCATTAACAATAGCGAAGTTATCACCAGTTGCCTTTGATAAGGGAATACCAACAGTGCAGGGCAAGTGTGGGATGCTGTGCTTGGAATACATGTCAGAGAACCAGGCAGGGATTGCAGTGCTGTACTAGTTGCTTCTTAATTGTGGAGCACAACAGCGGGATAGGTAGGAAGGAAAGTGGGATGCTTGAAGGTACCAACTGTACAGGTCTCCATGAACCAACACTCCATTTTTATCATACATTAAAAGATTTTCCCTCTAGTCCACATTTTCAGGATGAGAGCAAGAGAACAAGTTGCTACTACTATGTAGTAGCATCTGGACCACAACTGCAAACATCATTCTTTGTTGAGCATCTTTCAGTGTCTTCTTAGACTGCCACCTCCACACTACATTGCAGGCAAATACAAGCTCACACAGTTTCCACACTGTGGAAAAGATGCTGCAGAGGTGCACGCTGCCTCAACAGGTCATTCTGTAGTAGGGTATTGTCAATGCAGCTCTTGCTCAGTTTCTGGTTTGAAATGGGACTCCTCGTCAGCCAACTGAAAGCACAAACTCATTTGCCTTAAGAATACCACACAAACACAGGGAGAGCCAGGGAAACCCCTGAACCCAAGGCTTTTCTGAAAAATAAGATATACACACACATGCACTTAAACACAGAAAGACCAGGAGCTGTAACCTCTAGATAAAACAAGTTTTTACAATGCTGTAGCACAGCAAGGTCCAGCTGACAGGTAGTTACAGTTGCTCTTACTCAAAAGCACGGTAGTTCAACACATCTTGTTCCAGCTTTCACTGTGAAAATAGCTGACTCTGGGATCTTAATGCAGAAAATCATAAGAAACCAATTCAAACTCTCAAGATTGGCAAAACTGTGATCTCAGTGTCAATTAAATGAAACCCCTATGAATTCTGGGAACAGAACGTTTTCCACGACTTTCCTAAAACAGCATCTCTCTGGCAAGAATAAAACATTCAAAAACACTGTGTGCTTTTTACTAACAAAACCCGCATCTCTTTATGGAAGGGATGCTTTCTCATTACCTCTGTTCTGCAAAACAGCCAGAATTGAAAGGTAAGTTCCTTATTTTCTATAGAGGTTGAAAACCTACTGTTCCTCCCTGGTGAACAGTCAGATGTTGCTGCATGTCCAATGTTTCTCATAACCCTTCACCATGAAAACAAAAAAGTTGCAAACTGAAACTGGTTCCTAAACATGTACTGCATTACTGCAGGATGCTCTATTTCTTATCCCGGTTGGAAAGAACAAATATGGACACCACCAATCTAGTAAGTTTCGGCTACATCTATAGCTTTGCAGTGAAGACATGAAGCTCTGGAGCCAGTGTAGCGAAGTTTTGGCTACAGCATTTCCCAGGAACACAGCTGTCAAGCAAGACAATAAACAAGCATACCCTCTATACTTTTTTGCTTCCATTACCGATTCTCTGTGAAAACTCGAACTTTAAAGCCATATCATCAGCCAAGACCCAGGCATCCAAGAAGCGAAATGACCGCTTTATTTCCAAGACGAGGTTGGAAGCTGTCAGGCAACCCACAAAGCTTGGCAGAGTGAACGCTGCTGGCTGAAGGCCGCCCCTGGGCAGGGGGGTGAGCTCCTGCTCCCCACACGAGCAGGTGCCCAGCAGATGCAGCAGCACTGCAGCTACCCCAGAAACCCCCAAGAGGCTGAGGCTGCTGATCCAGCAGCAAAAGCTCGGCTGGGCGTTTGCCAGAGCCCAAAGGGGATCCCCCCGTGTCCGTGCCCAGCGCCCAGGTCCCAGCCGCACGCCACCGATACTGGAGGCTGCCAGGAAGCAGGAGGTCACTTCCTCTTAGGAGAGAGGTCAGCCGCACCTGTGGGGAGCGAAACTCGTCTCCGCACGGTTTCGCACCGAGCCTGGGAGAGCCCCGCGGGCAGGCAAGGGCACCGCGGGGGAAGAGCGACCGGCCGGACGGGGCCGCCCCTTCCCCTCACCGCGGGGCCGCCGCCGCTCCCCCGACCCCGCGCCACCGTAACCCCGGGCGAAACCCGAGGGCGCCTCCCGAGTCCCAGACCCTGCGCCGCGGGGGTGTCCCGGGGCAGGGCCGGCCGCGGTTCCGGAGGGGGCCGTGAGCCCCGGGCCGCACTCACCGGCCGGCAGCCAGGCCAGCAGCAGCGCCCACCGGCAGCGCCCGCGCGGGGCCATGGCGCGCTCTCCTCCTCCTCCGCCCGGGGACGTCGCGCCCACTGTCCCTCCCCTTCCGTGGCACCTGTCCGTGGGCCGGGCGCTGCCGCCGGCTGCAGTCCCCTCCCTCTGTACCTGCACCCTCCGCCGGAATGCCAGACAAAATACCGGCAGGCTTCAAGAGCTGCTTTTAATAGATATATGTAAAATGAAAAATATATATTCCAAAACATGTATTTATTGTATTGAAATTAAAGTTTTATATATATATATATATATATATATATATATATATATATATGTATATATGTATAACCTGAGCACACAGGTGTACGGGAAGTCAGCCGAGCTGCGCCGCCCGGGGCAGCGCACCGCAAGCGAGAGGCGCACGAGAGCGCACGCTAAAGACTGCGGGCGGGAAGAACGTCTGGGGAATTCACGGAATCACAGAATCGGTTCGGCTGGAAAAGACCTCCGAGATCATCCAGTCCAGCCTGTGACCCAACACCACCATGTCAACTAGACCAGGGCACTGAGTGCCTCGTCCAGTCTTTCCTTAAACACCTCTGGGGACGGTGACTCCATCTCTGGGCAGCCCATTCCAATATCTAATCATCCCTTCTGTGAAGAATTTCTTCCTAAGTTCCAACCTAAACCTCTTCTGGCGCAGGTCTCCTCAAGACCTGTCTCTAAGTTAATTTTCCCGCTGAGCTCTGAAAGGACCACAACCGTGGCCAAAGCATAGGTTACTTTAAAGAAAAAATACGAACAATCCAAAGTAAAACAACCACCGTCCCTTGCAATTGGCCCGGTAGCACCACCGACCCGCCCGCTCGCTCCGCTCCCCGGGCGCTGCGCCGCCGCCGTGGTTGCCTGGAGACGGGAGCGGGCGGCGGAGCGGGCCCGGGTACCGGGGCTGTGGGGGGGCCGCGGCCGCTCCGGGTCCAGGTACCGGGGCTGGGGGGGGGGCCGCGGCCGCTCCGGGTCCAGGTACCGGGGCTGTGGGGGGCGGGCCGCGGCCGCTCCGGGCACAGCCGCCCCCGGCGGGCCCGCCGGTGCCGTGGGTTGTTCCCGGAACCCCCTCCTCACGCCCCCGCAGCCCCTCTGTGCCCGCACCCTCCCCAGGGCCCCGCTGAAGCTCCCTCCCCTGCCCGCCCTGCGGAGCGCCAGGTGCCCCTTGCCTGCCCTCTGCTATCCCCGCTACGCAGGAATGGTGTTCTACAGCTGGAATAGACCGTCCCGTACTTATCTGAAATGTGGGACTTGTTGGGGTTTCTTTAGCGTGTGTGAGGCAGTTAATTTTATTGCCTGTTGCATTTGTGGTACTCTTCTCATACTCATTTTTATGATGTTTTTTTACGCTGTAAGTTAATAAGTAACTGGTGATGTCACCTGCTCTTATTTCTGCTTAGTTGAAACCTGGTAACCTTTATTCACAGGGCAGGCTTTAATAGACTTGAAACTTTTGCTTGCATGTGGCAGAGGTAGGACATGTGCATCAAACAGAGGGCTACTTTAGGTGTAAGATTGTAGATTAGATTTATTTCTCCTAGTAAAATATGAAAATATTTTGCATGTGTGCAACATAGTAATAGTAGGGAGAATGATAGTAGGGCTTCAGCCCATCTCTTTTCTCTGTCTGATGAGGGAGAAGGGAGACAATGGGGCTATGATAAAGAAAATGTGTCTAGATCCCACTTTGTAGCTTTATCCTTGCTGTCTCAGTCTCTGACTAGTAAATAATTTATATACTTTACTGCTGTGAGAATTGATACTTTTTCTCGCAAGTCTTCAAGCTGTTGTAAGAGCAGCCATATTCTCTAGTACTTTTTATTTTTATCTTGGGATCTTGGGTTGATTGCCTAAACTGACTTTTATTACTAATTTTCTAGTGCTGATGGATAATGATAGACAACACTGGTTTCTATGCCTGATTTACACTTGGATATTTTTCTTTCTGTATATAAACACTATAAGACTTTATTTTTTTTAACAAAAGTAAATTTTGCAAGACCCTCCTGTTTGCCTATTTTGTACTCATCAGTGGCCCAACGAATTGCTGATGTACTCTGATGTGGTCTGAAGGTAAAAAGGAGTGCTGAGACAGATGTTTGCTGTTTTTCAAAAATAAACGAAAGATTCAGAAAACAGTGCTGAGGAGACTGTGTTTGAAAGCGAGTTAAAAAAACAGAACTTGGCAGATGGGAGGAAACCAGACACATCCAAAGCAGAGCTAGACTTGAAGAAGATGCCTCACCCTGGAAGAGATGATCAGTATGGAGTTCCTCGTGGCAAACACCCCTCATGAAACCTGAATGCTGCAGCTGTGTTTTAGACCAGTGCTACCCCCAGGTCAGAAAGAGCAAAGAGTGCAGCCTGGAAGGCTCACAGTGCAGTGCTAGGAGGAGTCAGGATTGGAAGTCCTGGGACAAACAGAGTTCTTTCATATGGAATGAAAACAACTAAAGGAATAGTACAATTTCTCCTGAAAGAAAGACCAAGTGCTCTTTTTTTCTTTTTCTTTTTCATTTTTTTCTTTTTTTTTTTCTTTTTTCCCATTAGTGAGTAAAGCTTTTCTACCAAAAACTTAACACATTTTGGAATGAACCAGAAAAATAAATCCTGCATGAGTAGCACAATGTAGAGATAATTTTTTAGTCTCTTGCTTTTTGCTGGTATTAATAGCACTGCAGTTTTATTCTGCAGTAATAGTTCCCTATAGTTTCCTATGGTTTCTACATAAACTGAATTAGTGGTCAGAACTGGTGATCACTCTTCTGTGGATGTAAAAGCTGATAGGTGATGTCAATTAAGCACACTTAAACAGTTAATGGTGGGGTAGAGACAGCTTAAAATAACTGTTAGATATGTTCTGTTTTCTAAAGTAAAACTTTAGGCTGCATTTTGATCATTATTTAATTTCCTGTATTTTATGCATTTGAAGTGTCAGTCACAGTGTTTATGAAGGCAAGAACTGTATTTATGAGGGTTACACATTTAAACATCTTTTCTGGAAAGAAGAAAACTGTAGGATGACAAAATAGAAAGAAAGTGATGTCATCTTACTGAATTTGTTTACGTATTAGCAAATAAACACCCATTTAATTTAATTATGCTGTCTTTTGAATAAATGAGACAATTGTCTGAGATGAGAAATCACTTAGTATTCAAATTTACTGAGAATTTTTGAGTGGCTTCCATATATAAAGATTCTGTGTGGCAGCAAAATTGACAAACATTTAAGTTTTAAAATAACTGAAGTTATATACCTGAATGAACACATTTCTCCATTCTGTGGCTTTTGAGAACATAGCTAAGAAAAAGGCAATTTGAAAGAAAGTGGAACTTGGCTGAAATTCCCAGCTTGTAGCACTGTCCACTGAAACAAGGATAACCTGACTTGGAAAGAGTTCCTGAGTTCTTGGAAATGATGAAACTCATGTGGATCTGGTACAGTATTTCAAGTCAATGTCTTGATTTACCAGGACTAGGAGGAAAATGTACTGTCGGGGTCAGGCATTGGCAGAAAAATTATGATTGCTGACTTTTTTTTTCTCACTAGACTTGTCACACCAGTTCTACTTGTTGCTATCTCAGTTTTCAGTATCAAAAGGCTTAAATCTTTCTGATTTAGGAAATCTGTTGCAAAAAAACCTGCCAACTCCCCCCAGGAAAATAAAATCAACATTCAGAGAGATGCATGCCTTTGCCATGGTGAGCCTGCACAAGAATTTTCAGGATCAGCCAACTCATGAAACCCAGAATCTACAGCCAAAGTAGACACATTATCCCCTTGGACCTCTTCTGAGTTCTTAAATTTAGAGTTTGCTTTGGCACAGTGCTTGAATGCCATCACAAAAATGTGCACAGTGGATATTGCAGTATCTTTTTTTAACTAGAACCTAGATATCAATGCAAGCGGAAATGTTCATATCCTCTTTCAGCCTAAAGCATTTTCCAGATTAGAATTAATTTATAATGAAAACTATTATAGTCTTAATTTTTAGAAGATAAATGATTGCTAATTAGTTATAATAATTTGAAATTTTATCGCTCTTTTCTCTGTGGATATCAAAACACTTCACTAAGATGGGTAAGTATTATTATCTAATTTTTCACAGGAGATAACTGAGACAGCCAGAGGTGAAATGGCTGATACAAATTGAACACGTCATTACTGGGTTTGGAATTAGAATTCAGTCTCTGAGCACTCCACTATCTATTTATGCAAATAGTCTATAACTATTTCTTCAACTTCAGTGACACCAGTTGTGTTACCCCAGTAAAAACTCATGAATTTCATTTAAATATATTGAGATACATTGCTTCCATGTTTTGTTTTATTTTCATTGGTTTTTTAAATGTAAAACTTTCTGCTTGTCTATTTTCAAGTTTTTCTCAGCACTCCTAAGGCATAAAAGTTCATTTGTAATTCTTATGTGAAATTATGCAGGAAAGTCAGATTCTGGCAGATCTCAGGACTTTCGGATGAAGATTGGCTAAGAATGACATATCTGAAATATTTCTTTGTCCTCTTTGTTCTTCTTGTGGGTGGCATTTTGTTAGAACACTTTGCCTTTCCTGAAATATCAAAAAAGCTTGCAATTCCTCAAAATTTTTTTTCCAAATGGATTCTGACCCAGAGCTGGAAACAGGAAATGAAATATTAGGGACTTCTTAATGGTATCAAAGTAATGATTACAAATTAAGAAGGATTTGCATGCATCCTGTCCATATTATTCTGAGTATTCAGTTTCTTTATATGCAACTTCTGAATTCTCTGATTTTGGATAGTGTTTTCGTGCTGTAATATTGATGCAAAGTTGCTCCAATGTGCATTTTAAGGTGTTTCATTTGGAAATGGAGAACACTTATGAAATCAAAAGGCAGAAAAAAGTTAGAGCATGCTTTTTTGCTTCTTTTTGAGGCTTTTGTAGAAATGGTCAGTGTGTTTGGTTTTTATATGACAAATTTGGACCTCTTCCACTTCAGAGGAAAATAGTAACAAGTAAAAATTGTAGCACCCTGAAAAAGATGATCTAAAAGATGAAAATCATATGGGGGAGTGGTGTTATTAAGCTGTTTAATTTTAAAAAAATTGTGTTAAGTTTTAAAATTTGTTTTCCATCATCATAAAATGTTTTGAAGAAAGCCCTTTTTTTCTTAAAGATTCATCTCTCTTGCTTTTCTATTTAAGACATAGGTGATCTTAGAATGTCTATCTCCAGTTATTTTTGTGAAGTCCACCACAAAGGTGAAGGAATAGCCTTGTTATCTCAAAAGCAGATCTCATCCCAGTACATTAAAGAGAAGCTCAAAACATTTAAATCATGTCAGTTCCCACCATTACACAGTATTTAGATCAAAGTCTTGCTGTAGCAATTTATTCAGAGCCTGGAGTCCTAAAACCTGAACCAATTAATTCACTCTGCAAAGTAGGACATATCTTTGGGTTTTCCATATTTGTGTACAGGCAGAAGACAAATACCATCTTTGGGAATCTCAAAGCATTTGAGAGGAAATGAGAATGGTCTAAATGGCAAATAAAATACTAAAGGTTTGTCTTTACCACCGCCAGGGAGAGAGGACATCCAGCTTTTGCAATGGAAGGGGAACCAGTAGAAGATGCAGTGGAAGATCTCAGTAGTGAGTATTTCCCTGTTATACTGTGACTTCAGTATTGAACCAACAGTAACTTCTGCCTTCTTCCACCACTCACCCCTTTCTTACTTCAGCTCCAGTTCCCACTCTTGGTGTTGCCAAATTTTATTTTTACTCTGGTCATGGTGAAGTTCTGGACTAAGCCCCATGCCTGCTGTTCCTGCTGTGCCTGAGCTCTCAAAGTCCTTCCCCTGAAAATTCTGCTTAGACCTGTCTCTGTAGGTAATACTGAAATCAGATTTTAACTCCACCAGACTTTTTCAGTCAGAGGCCAGTATTTTTCTTTTTAACATATTTTTCATCTTGAAATGCCTGTCCAGTGTCTATTTCAGGTGTCCTGCATGTCATCTAACACACTAGATCCAGGTAGCATGAATAACAAATCCACTTTGGAAGGATTTTTTGATGCATTGCTGCATTACTTTTGGCATTTGTTTGGTCTTACTATTACATCTTTTTTTTTTCTATTATGTGTTTGTTTCTTTCCTTCTCTTAAGTTTTAAATTGCTGGGTTTTGGAAGTAAACTTCTCCTGGCACAAGGCTAAACAGCAGGAAGTCTGTTGTTGGACAGAGGAGATTCTTTTACTATTACAGAACCATATATTTATTTAGAACTATATATTTATTTAATATGGTCTGTATGAGCAAATTAGTCAAAGGAATTTATACCTAAGAGGGTGGTACCAATTATACCTTGCAAAAGAAAACAAAACTAGTGTTTCAAGGGAATCACCAACTGCAAAGCAACAGGATGGAAGAAGGGGAGCAAATGGAATCAGACATCGAGAGCATTGCTGAAAACTGGTGTTCACTGAGGAGATGTTGGCACAAACTTAAAGCCCACAGTACTTTCATCGTTTTTAGTTATTATTAGGAACAGCCAACAACCTTAGACTGTAGTCAGTTACAGTGATTGAATATTTCTTCTCCGTTTCAGTTGGCTTAACTTTGCTCTTTGCCTGGCTGCTCTCTGACCACTTTGCTTGTTTCTCATGGCCCACCTGGGAGAGAAAGCAGTCAGGACAGCATGAAATGTTTACAAAATAGATTTAACCTGAGATAACCAGCTGCAAACTACTTTTTGTGAGTGCTTATGGCTAGTTGGAAGTCAAGTTGACAGTACTGTGCATTGCAATCTAGTGAGGAACTGCACTGGGTCACACATTAGTAGTTTGCTTTCTTGAGGACGGTGGTGTCTTCTGGTGGTCCATTATATGAGATTTTAATAATTGTTTTGTGTAACAATATGCATTCAATATCTACTGAAAATAGACACTTTAAAATTTGTTTGGTTTCTAAAATGGAGACCTAAATATGAAGCAAACCTCAACTGAACTGCTATAGTAAGTCTTACGGTTTAAAACCCTGTATTTTTCAAATGGTCTCAAAATTTTTCTTGTTTAGATTCTTCAGTTTTGAATATTTCCAGTGAAGTTTTTAAAAGCCTGAGGGAGTATTTGTTGCAGACTGTGCCAGGATAAGTAGTTACTAAGACATGAAACCCTTGTTTTGAGCTGTGAGGTATTGATTGCTCTGTCAAAGGGGGAAAAGATTTATGACTCCTTCCCTTTTACGGTTAGGTGCAAATATCAGCAACTAACCCAAAACATACGGTGAGTATAAATTTCTGTTATGTTCTCATTTGTGAGGTGGGGAAGAAAATTTGGATGATGAAGATAATAGTCAAGTATCCTCAGAACCACAAAAAAGGCCTGAGGAGGTAAAAAAGAAAATAGCTGAAACCTTCTTCTACACGTATGAAGATGTATATTCAGGACCATATGCCACTGACGACACTGAGATACCCACTGACCTTCTAATTTTTAAGTATCCTTTCTGTTGAGCTTGTGTAAATTCAAAGCTAATGGTATTTAATATACCTTCTCAAAATTGTATTGGTCAAATTTGGAGTAGCCTTTGTGGCATTAGTGGGATACCTTTGGTTGAGACACAGGTAAAGATCCTGGGTGAATTTAGTCTTAAAGTGTTGTCTTGACCTCTTAAACATTTCTTACGGGGCATAGTGCTTCCTATCATAAGTACTCCTGAGAAGCTAATGTCACCAGGCAGAGGACTGGCATAAGAATACGCCTGTAAAGCTCTCCCTTTCTCTGTAGTGACACTGGTGTTCCCCAAGAAGCTGAGGGGAGGGCAGAAGAGCTCCTGTGTGCTTTGTAAAGGAGAAGTGGGGAAGAAACCAGGTAGATTTGTGTTCTGGTGCTTAGAAGGTCTAAACTAATGGAATGAAGGAAGTGGTGCCCATCAGTTAAGAGCTACAATAAACTCTTTGGTAGGTATGGTCAAGTAGGGTAGCATAAGATATGTGACTTTTATATATGCTGATGGTTTTGTCTGCAGACACAGTTCAGTTGCTATTGAAGACTGGATTTTCCCTTTTTTACATCTGCCTGTAAACAATTAAGAAGTGAGCTTGAAAACTTGCTTGGTTTGATCTCTTGTCTGTAGAACAGGTCCTCGTAATCTGATGCACATCTTTTACATTTCATTTGAAATGAGAACATAGATAAAATATTAATTCCTTGCCGCTCCAAATGATCAGAAGCAGGAGATATACCCATAGTGGAGGTGAAAAGATGGGATATAACTTCAGTAGGCCTTTAGTTGTGCCTTCCTTTCAGTTATAGAGTCAAGATACATTTTACTTTCACTGTGTACTGAAGAAAATTATCTCCTGCCATCAGGATTAGTCACTAGTTTCAGTACTCCCATTTCAATTTCAGTTTAAACATTTTATTCATTTAGTAAACTGTTTAGAAAGCCAGTGTCTAATATTTTCCTTATTGGACTGTTCCCAGACATTCTTTTGGATATGACTGTACCAGACCTGTAAACCTGATGATAATGGATAGAGATACTGTGGGGTATATAGCAGGCAACCAGGTGATCCTCCAGAACCTGAGAACCAAGTATCAGAAACACGTCCGGAGCAGCCATGGCGGTGGCATTGGGTTTATCACAGTATGGCTTTTGTTTCTTGTTTAAGAACTTTAGTTGCTCTAGGAAGAAAATGTTTGCTTGGTTGTGGTTGCCAGATATGGGAGATTTCTATAGTGGCACATTCATATAAATAGGAAGTATATTGTATTGATTAAAGGAATGTATGGATCATGCAGCATGGGCTTCTCATCCCATCAATCTAATTGGCAGAGAACAAATATCTGCACACTTTAGTCCCAGGCTCAGCTACCTAAAAGGACTGACAAGTCCAGCTGGGATTATTTTTACATTCTTATTTAAGTATTTTGGCTCATAGCAATTCTTTTATTTTTTTTCAACACTTCATCTGTCCTAATCACAACTGATGCTAATATAGAGTCTTACTTGCAATTAAAATTTAGAAAATCAATCTCCCACAAAAATGAAGAGAAAAAGCATCTGGTCTCACTCTAATAAACTTATCAAGAGCTTGAAGTCTCAAGTTCTGTCTCTGAATTTGAAACACCTTACCCTGTGAGAACTCTGCTATCTCTCAGTTTTATTGCACATGAGCGAGGCTTTCCGACTACCAGCCTCAGACTGTCCTGTTTTATTGTAAGCAGCCTCTTCTGGAGAATCAGTGTACATTTTTACACCTTCAGACTTGTGTCATTCATGCTAGCTTTTCTGCAGCTGTCTGCTGAAGTAGATGGCTGCTGACACAAATGCTGCTATGGAAAGATTAGCTAGTGGGTTGAGTGAGGTAGGGATAGTAAAAGGATGCATCACAAAGCAGATTGTTTCACTGTTTCTTATGATTCCACAATATATGTGGGATATACCATTTTGTGTGCATAGTGGCTTCACTCTGATATTTAGCAATAGGTTGACAGTTATTCAGAATAAACACACAGAAAAATGCAATCTAGTATTTATGGCTGTATGTTTTGACTAATGAGTGAGTGAATACAATAACTCAATAACTAGCAGAATAAAGACAAAGGTGTTATTACAGCATGCAACAGGACTTTTGCTTTTTCAAGGCACACCCTAATAAGGACTACTTTGCAGTAGGAGAAAAAGGAAAGAAGCCAAACATTGTCATCTACACATATCCTTCGGTGAGACCCTACAGAATACTGAAAGGTAGTGTAAAACATTCTATTTTCATTTTATACAGATGGACTAGTGTTTAAAGATCCCAGCAGATGGAGTGATGGATCATTTTTAGTTTAGAATGAAATAGAATTTTCTGATCCTTCACAGCAAAAATAGAAGACATTGGTTTCAAGCTTTTTCATTATTGCATGGGAAGAAACGTCTATTTCATAGAGATAGCTAACCTAAAGCGATTACCTATTGGAAAAGAAATAATTTCAGTGAATGTTGAGCTTCTTCTGAGTAGATTTTTGTGTTATTTCTACCTCTTTCCTGTGTATTGGGGCTTGTACATTTCTTTAGGTGGAACAGAGGTAGCCTATGTTTTTGGTGATTTCAACCGTACTGGCACTTTGCTGGCCAGTGTTGGGAGCAGCCCTGACTACATGTTGACTATCTGGGACTGGAAACAAGAGGAGACTCTGCTGAGGTCAAAAGCTTTTGCACAGGATGTTTACAAGGTCATGTTTTCTGCTGAGAATGAAGAGCATCTAACTACAGGTGGATCAGGACACATCAGGTAGGTTTGCTGATTAGGATTAATACATAACACCTCTGCAGTCATAATGCATAGGAGATGACTAACAAGAATGTATCATTAGCAAACATGTACCAATGAGGAATGCTATTTTACCTGGCCCTTACAATTACAAAAATGAGGATTTTCAAATCTTCCTAGCAGTCAAACAAATTTTTCAACATCTTTGCTGTCCAAATAGGATGATGCTTGATGTTAAATGCCAGTACCTCTGGCTCCATTCTTGTAATTGCAACAAGCACTGAGAAGAAGAAATGAAAAATACTTATATATACATGTCTTCTAGCTGGTAACATAAGATATTTGCCTTTTGTGCCTTCTGGGCTTTCTGTCTTTGATTTCTTGAGCTCATCTGCTCCTTGGACAGCCATTGGAGCTGGTTGCCAAGTCATGGATCAGAAACCCTGTGATCACACCAGAAGACTACAAAAGATCTTTCCATACATTCCCTTCCCTGCTAAGTTCATGGGTCCTTTTATAAAAAAGGGCCAAACACCCAATGACTTTAAACATTCTTTTTGTGTTATATGTTTATCCACTACTTGAATCTTATGCTATGAATGGGATTCTGTTGTAATAAAAATGTTATCTTTAAAATGATAATACGTCTAAAGTTTCTTAGAATTTTAATGGGGAAATCAGATCAAAATCTGATACTTGCTTTATGGTTTGATTGCAAGGTGGGTCTGAAATAGCAAATGGTTTATTTAGACACAGAACAAATGTGGTTTAGAATGCATTATTTATGGAAATCTGACAAAACAAAATCTCTTATAAACTTTCTTTTGAGCTGAAATACTACAAATAAACACTGACATAGCTTTTATTACATGGTAAATATGACCTTTCACTCAAATGTGGACTCAAATTACAATTTCTAAGAGTTATCTTAAAAGTAATATCTCCTGCACACACATAAATCCTAATATTTAGGATAAAACCTTTGTGTCAGTGAGATTTTATAATACAGTTTAATTCCACAAGAGGACTTGGATGACATTCAATGAAGTCCTCAGTCCTTTGGGTTTACAAAAGTGAGCATCATACACTCCATAGCAAGGATAAAATAGGTATTCCTAGCTGTGTGTGTGGTTGTAGCTAGAAAGATGTAGCTGTGGATTTTACACTTCTTAATTGTAAATAGTAGTTTAATCTTCATTCTGCCTATTCCAAATCTTTTTCCTAGCTGTTTCATAGGAGCAGTATAAGGAAATGTTTGTATAGATGTAAAGCTTTATGTGATTTTCAAAAGAAAAAAACCCCAAGTTCTCCAGCAAAAAGGAATAATACATGAGCAAGGCATGCCTGATAAGGGTATTGCAATGTCTAAGAGGTATTGAGCAGTGTTGTGGAAATCTTGTGTCAGAGTGTGTTTTTCTGTACTCAGGTTCTGGAAGATGGCTCTCACATTAACTGGTCTCAAGTTACAAGGAGCTTTGGGCAGGTTTGGAAAAACAGCAGTGTCTGACATTATAGGTTTTGTGGAGCTGCCTGATGGGAAAGTAAGTGAGAAAAAGTGACCAAAAGAAAAAATATTATATACTCTTTTAGGCTTTCATAGAAAGTCTGCTTTGTAAGTTAGAGAGTTACTATTTGCTTAAAAAATGTTTTTAATCAGGCCTGTGATTCACTGTTCTGAGAAGAAAATATTGCCATCAGTTTGCCCAAAATCCCTGTCTTGCTTTGTAATAATCATAAAATACTTAGTGTTGTAATTCACAGAAAAAAAGATCTGTGTTGGCTTAGAGCTGAGTGTCTTCTAATGTGAAAACGTTAGTGCACAGACACACAAAGAGACTGTTGGTCCCAATCTTCACCAATTTCAGTGCATGCAAATTATGTCACATTGCTAAAAAGTTGAACCTCCTCACCCTTTATATCTTCTCTTGCAAGTATTTGTACTTTGCCATTGATTTAATGCTTTCATGGAAGGAAGCCACAAATGTTTACTTGGTTCTTGCCTGTGTATCTGCATGATTACATGCAGGTGCTTACATAGTTATTTTAATTTCCATTAAAGGTTGTCTCAGGAACTGAGTGGGGCAATGTGCTGCTTTGGGAAGGTGGCCTCATTAAAGTAGAGCTCTGTCAAGTTGGACATAAGCCCTGTCATGAGGGCCCTGTCAGCCAGTTAGTTTTTGATGAAGGAGACCTTTACTCTGTTGGAAAAGATGGTGTCATCCGGGTGAGTTTTTCTTTTGCTCTGCCTTTAGGTATGTAAATGTATGGTCAGCAGGTAAATGTTACATATTTTCTTTACCAGGTTTTTGGAGGATATTTTAGAGTGCAGTTTCTTTCTGAAAATTATTTTGTAGAATAAAATAAGAGCACATCTCCATAGTGTATGTGTTGAATTGGATAGCATGTCATGCAGTTTTCCTTGTTTAATAGTAATAAATAAAACAGCTTTTACTTTAGTAAATCAAAATAATCTTCAGTGGTTTTCTAACAGCTTTGTTCCTGACTACATTCTAACATTTTATAATTTCCAGGCCGTATTGTTATCTAAAAGATAAAAAACAAATGACAGGAATATTTGAAATTAATTTTCTGAATGTTTAAAAGCTCAGATTATTAATGTTAAAATAACACAGAAATTAACTAGCATCTCAGAGATACATATCCTAAAATAGGGAAAAATTAAGGCTAAAGCATCCTGAAGTTAACAAATAATTCTCTAAATTAAGGTCAAAATGTTTTCCATATGCATAACACAACTTTCTGATGTCCTCTGTCAATGATCAAGAATTTTGCAATCTTATTACCCTACTCTTTAAGGGAGGACATGATGTGTCTTCTGCTCATGTGTGTACCCAGATAATCAATGGTATACTGACCTATAGCCAGTGGAGGGTTTCAAACACTGCTGTTGTTGTTAGTTTGTTTTAGAGGTTGGTGTTATCCCCTTAGGAAAGTTCACTTGATTATAAGTGTGCTAACTGATATGTTGTCCTTATCCTACAGAGCAGAACATGTAAGAGTTACACTTCCCATTAATTTGTGATGCCTCAGTATGAGCCATGCTGAGTGCCCACAGATACCATTTATTCTGCATAGTTCTGAAACTGCCATGTACAGCTCTCTTAGTGTCAGGGCTGAATTGAAGCTCCAGTCACTGTTCTAGGTTATGTTCAAAGCAGTGATTTTACTTTCTTAAAAATTTGATTTTCCATATTTATTATGTATGAAAACAACCTGGTGTTATTAAAAAAGCTGCTTTTTTTTATTTTCTTTTCTTTTCCTTTCTTTTTTTTTTTTTTTTAATGCTTCAAATGCCATGAAGATGTGGAACTTTGAGGTAGTAGATACTGCTGATCCTGTGGATGACACAGGGTTAGTGGAGATGGAGCCTATGAATGAACTTTGGCTTGGCAAGAATGTCAGCCTGAATTTCATTACAAAAATTCATGATCATGAACAGCCCTTCTGGTTTGCTCAGGTAAGACACACTCAGGTACATGCATCCCTGTGGAGAAAAAAAAAAAATTAGGAACATGCTGGTAAGTAACAGCAGGAGTCTATTACAAATCAGAGTGTTTCTTTGTAGTAGAATTCAGTCTTCTGGATATATAGAAAATAATCTTATCAACCTACCTACCAACCTACCTACCTACAGTTTTGTTGGTGTTTTTTTAACACTGAAACAGGCTTCCTAGAGAGCTGGTCATTCTAAGTCAATGTTTAAGAGGCATATATAGAGGTCTTTAATAAAATACTTTAACTTTTGGTCAGGTCTGAAGTGATCAGGCAATTGGTCGAGATGATCCTTGCAGGTCCCTTCCAACTGAATTATGCTATGTTATGCTATGCTGTGTTTTTAGTGTACAGTAATGTGTGAGACTCTGGCATAAGAACAGAAGAATGCCAGAAGGTACTGTCCAAGTTCTATTACCTTAAAGTGATGAATGGGATTCATTAGACCAACATCCTTGCATTTAGTAATTTTTGTTTCACAATGATAGTCATTAAGGACTTTTTAAGAAGTTACCCTGTGCAGTTTTATTTCCAAATTGAGTCTGAAAATATTCAATTTATGTTTTTTCTTCTTCAGGATACAAGTGGAGCAATATGGAAGCTGGATTTGACTTTTTCAAATATGGTAATTTTGATTTTTCTTTCTTCTGATTTCTTCAGTTCATTTGTAATAGGAACCATATCCTGTTACATCCTATAACTGTGCTGGTTCCATCCGGAATTAAATTTGTGTTTTATGAAGTTGCATGGTAGAAAATTGTAGCATTGAAACATATATTTTATTTAATAAAAATTTTCAAATGTAATTGATTGTAATAATTGTGCAGGATGGTAAAGAGGAATTTGATTTTTGATTCCTGAAATTTCAGCTGCCAAATTCAAGTTACTTTAAAGGAGTTTGATTCTGTAAGCTGGTAATGAAGGTTGCAGGGATGCAGGAAATGAGATCAAGGAATGTTGTTATTTCCTCTATAGATAGGTGTTTGAACTAATCCTTCCGGTAGTCTTTAAATGACAGAAAGAACTAGAAGAAAACAAGAAGATGAAACACACTTGAAGTGTTTTATCCTACTAGTAACTAGTGTAACTGCTGGAGATGTTTTTGATGGAGAAATAGATGACAGAGGTGAAAAAGCAGGCATTTAATTTTTGCTCTGGAACATAATAAAGTAAGTAGGAACAATCCCTTGTGGGGAATAGAATTCTAATGTGAAAAGTAAAATATGTTCCAAGAATTGTATGGTAAATAAAAACCACATACTATACAAACTAATGTAAAAAAAATGATAGCAAAGTCTGTAATTTCTTGGATGATGAAATTATTTCCCAGGAAGTATGAGCTCAAATTGGAGAGCACAAGTGTAAAATGCAGCACAATTTCTCTTCTGTTTTGCACCGCAGACCCACGACCCAGAGCGTGTGTGTACCTTCCACTCTGGGGCGATTGAGGCCGTCAGTGTCTCTCCTTTTACATACCTGATGGCCACCACAGCTCTTGACCGTAAGTGCACTGTTCCTTTCATGCCATTGCCAGGATTGGTTTTGAAGGGCAATGATGCTTGGTTTGTGTCAGAATCTGTGGTATTGATGATTGCGAGATTGTAAAAAGTCTCTGTCTTTCTGCCCCGTTGCCAAAGAAGAAGCCATAATTCATCTGTGCTGTTTTCAAGGTTGTTTATTCTTGCTTATCTATAACATGTTCTGCTGCCCTGCTGCAGGTCTGTCCTGCAGGGCAGCGTGTGGGGCTCTGCCCTCAGTGGGATGTTACAAACATTATATACCAGAAACTACCTGTGCTATATTTACAATAATGTGCCAATATCTGTCACCTACGTTGAACAGTGTGTCCCCAGCCTAAACCAACAGAAAAATGCCAACACTACAGTGAAACATGGAGGGCATGAAGAAGGAGAAAAAGGACAAGACACACCCAGTTTCCTCCATCTTGTGCCCTTTGAACCCCTATTCTAGAATCCTAAAATTTTACTTTTGCACCTGTGCCACACTTAATTATTACTCATATCAAACACTCAGAGCTTGTAATTCATCCTGTAAGATTGAAAACTCTTTTCCATGGACAGAGATCAGAGACAGTGTCTCTGGGGGCTCTGTACAGGGGGGTTCCTGACCCCCTGCCAGGATCCCAGGCCTTCCAGGGCAGCCAGAGGGAAGCCCTGAATTCCCACAGGTTTGGAGCTACAGTGTTTTATATTTGTGCATTTGCTCTTGCAAAGCTACTTTTGTTATTCCTGGGATCAGTTCTTTAGTAGTTAAGGCAAATCATGAATGTTTTGAAACAATGCGTTAAGACTGCTTCATCCTAAAAACCTAGGATTTTAGCAACAGAAGTTTTTAATGGGAAACTTTGTAAATTGTTTGTTCTGAAGGAATGGCTGAAAAGATGAGATGTTGTTTGAGTTACAGCACTTGTATTTGGTGCTGGGGTTTAGTAAGTGTTGGGATTCTTATCTTGTAAGGAATTACATACACCTCCAGCATTGTGCAAGCCATTGCAAATATTAATGCTTATGCCTTTCTTAGAAACTGCAATAGCTATTATGCTCTCATCAACAAATAACAAGCCATTACAGACATATTCATTCAACTTGTATAAATATTGCTGTTTAGGCCTCTCAGTGTTAGCTTTATTGTGCTTTGGAAGAAGAACTACTGGCCAGAATGCTAACGATGTCATTTACACTGTTCGGAAAACACTACAAGGTCTTTTAATTGAATTCTTGTCAGTACAGTCTTGTAATTTGTCTGTGTTATACAATGCACAAATTCTTCTAGCCTGAACACTAACTCCTACCAGTTGAGCAAATGACATTTCATGTAAATGCCAGTTGGAATGGAATTTTATGCTATCAGTAGGTATGCCTATGAATCTGTTAATTTTCCCTCTAATGAAATTGGACCTTTTGTGGACAATCTCCTATGTTTTCCTCCCTTTAAATGTTTTCCTCTCTAGGCAGTCCCAAGTAGTAGCCTATCATCTTTTCCTATCTTGTTAGTACAGATTTTCCATAGAGTATGCCACAATTCCATGCTCACTTGAAAATTACATGTAGGTTGTCAGCCTGGGACTTCTTATTATGACCCTCAGCCTTGACAATTTTGGTTCTGTATAAGTTGAAGAGTGAAGAAACAATATCTTTTGTTCATGAGCACCATGCTAGCTATGGTGCTCTGTAACCATCAGTCATCTTTCATGCAGGCATTTTGTTACTCAAAATAGAAAACATACATTTAATCCAGATTTTAATTCAAATAAAAAGACATTTCTTCATAAATCCTAACATGTAAGTGACATTGCAAGAAATAAATTCTTACTGTCTCCTTTCCACACAGGGTCAGTGCGTATCTACGATTTTGGCAGCAACAGCCAAGTGGGTGTAATGAAGTTTAAACAGGGAGGAACAGCGCTGACATGGGCACCAGCTGTTGTGAGTTTTTCCTAGCATGTTAGCCAAAATTCATCAAGGAGCCTATGGGCCTGCCAGCATCCAGGAAGCTGCTCAGCAAACAAGACATTAGAGGTCACTTGTTAGGCCGTGGTGGTATTTACTGCAGCAGGATGTATAGATAAGTTTGTGGGGTAATATGTTTGTATACAGTTTGGGAAAGTTTAACTTTACTATGGGTTATCAGGTATCCTACTTTGTGCCTTCCTAATCTTTTAAAATAAGATCTCTGTATGCAGTCTGGGAAGTAGTCTGAGTTTGTAGACTAACAGCTTCTATTTAACCCACACAGAGCAAATGTCGATTAACATGAGTTAGTTAACACATTTTGAAATGACAGCCCAGACAAATCACAAACATTTGGAGATAAATAATTAAAAACTGTTGCCAGAACTGATCATTTGTGGAGTGTGGAATCTATCACTTTTAGACATATTTGCTAATTTTAATTAAATTAGTGCCTAGTTATGTTCTTGAGAAAACATAGCAAGCCTGGTGGGTTAATTACAAGCAAATTTAGGAGGCAAATAATTACTTGAATGCTCAAGGTGAGGGTTCCACTGGAGAGTGCCTTTATTTTATAAAAATATAATTCTGGCCACACAGGCTTTTAGAGATGCTGTTTAGTGGTTACCTGTACCTTCATGAGGTAAGCTGTCTGCCACAATAAATTGTACAGCATCACAAAACTGACTCAGTTTATGAAAGTTATTACTAAACACAATCTGAAAAACAAAGGGCAGTCTATCCAGCTGCATTTAAAATTGCATTCGATACTTGGTCACAGTTAAAGTGTGCAAATGTATTTTAAAATCTGTACTATTAATCTAAGAAAACTTAGTCCAACATACCTTGGAGCATCTGTATACCATAATATCTCCTCATAGGCAAGCTATCAGTGTCTTTGTTAGATAAGTGAGCATTGGCAAGTCAGCTTGTAATTGACTTCAAGACACTACTATGTATGGCAAATATCAGCTAAATCCACAAGTCCAACTATGTCCAGCTAAAACACAGGCCTGTTTCTGCTAACCTTTATCACAGTTCAAGCCTCTCTTAATTGTTAGCAATTGACTTACCTACGGGACTTAGAGTAAAGACTCCTCCTCCTCCTTTCCATCTCAAGTGGCAGTCCCTGTGGACTGCTGTACTTTATATGGACTCAGCCAGACCCAAGCCTCTGCCCTGACCTCTTAAAAAAATCATACTTAGGTTTGGTGCCCCATATTATATTCAGGGAAATTAATTTTTTTTTGTTTGTTTCTTCTGCTTAAGAAGCTACTGATACATCTTTATGTTAGTATGAATTACCTCTTCTTCAGACATTACAACCACATCCTCATTAACATCTTCAGTTTCAGTGGCATGTTATAACTAAAAAACCAAAACACAATCTAAACCAAAAAATAAGCCCCAGTCATCTCTCTTCCTTTGTGGTGCCATATTAGAGAGAATAAACAACATTTCCCATCTGTGAAATATTCTTTGTGCTTTAGCAACACTTCCATGTAAGGTGAGTTTAAAGGTAAACATCAGAGCATGTGCCAGATGGATTATTCTTTGAAGATGTACACTGTGTTTTTTTCTTTCTTCATTTCACTTAAAGGTAAACCCTGAGGGAGGTCTAATTGCCGTGGGGTTTGAAGATGGTGTTGTCCGCATAATTGAGGTTTATGATCCCAAACGGCTGCCTGGTCATGCAGGACGGGCCAATGAGATTGCAGAGATAAATCTGAAACAAGTTTTCAAACCTCATGCTGCTGCAGTCACAGCCCTGGCATATAAACCAAAAGGAGATGTGTTTGCCACAGGGGTATGTATCCTTTAGTTTGGTTGGGTTTATTAAGCCACAAATACAGAGCCTTTTAAAAGAGACAAGGTAAAGTTTGTTTACTGACAACACAGTTTTACTTCTGTTGCTGCTATTGATTGCTTGTAGTTCTCTGTGTTGGGAGAAGGATCTGTTTGCACTCACATCCGCTTTTCTGAAGGAAAGCAACCATGCAGTTCACACAATTAGTTTTGTGAATTACTGGACTGTTTAGTGTGAATTCTGTAATCCCCTTTGAAGATGGATTTGGTTCATTTTGGAATTAATTTAGTAGGATCTTGGAATTAGTAAAAGCAAGTCCGTTGATACACCACATTGGCAGCAATCCAGCTGCTACCCAGCACTGCTTGGCCTTACCACAGGGTCAGTCAGTCAGTTTATCATTAAACCTGGTAGTCTTTGAGACGGTTTCCAGTTAATGTGGTGTCTCTTTTTAAAATCTCATCCTTAGCCACGATCACTGCTTTTGCAGTTACATGTTCCTGAGGCTGAATTGCCACACATTTCATTTAATGTAGGATATAAGTTACAATGAATCATGTTGTGTACCAGTTCTGGAACTTCTTATTATCTGGGGAAATCAGCTTGTGCTGCATTATCTGAAGAATCAGGCCTGAGCCTGAGATTTAAAGGAGCTCCTGGGGCAATGGGCAGAAAGCACATAGCAGGTGATGCCAGAGGATCCCCATGAGAGCAATTAAGAGCTATGGGTGCAACATGTTTCTTGGAACAGCATGGGCAGGATTTTTATTTACTCCCATTAATCATTATGGAAATCCAGTCCTAAGTTCCCCTGTTTAAATGCAAAAATTGAAAAGTTCCCCTGTTTAAACACGTAAAGTGCTTAGAGTCTTTTGAAATTTTGGTCAGCTTTGATTCAGTCATCATGTTTGTTTGTTTGTTTTTCCTCAGAGTAAAGACAAAACTGTTTTCTTTTTTGCTATTGAGGATGAATACAAGCCTATTGGATTCATCTGTGTCCCTGGACCTGTACAGGCATTACAGTGGTCTCCACCTTCTCATGTGAGTAATGCATATTTGTTTTCTTTCCTTTCCAGCAGTGTTAACATATGATTTTAAAATGAATTTCCAATCAAAATAGATGAAGATCCATGACTCTAGTCACGTCCTCTACAGACAATACAAATAATGTTTTGCTAATTTGTTTTTTCATGCTGCTTCAGCATGACAGATTCTAAAAGGTTCTGTGTAGCTGTATCTCTGGTTCAGTCACTATGGACATACTTTGGGTTTTGGATAATGCAGAAATGAAAATATTTTGGTATGCTTTTTGAGCCCTTGACTTGAAGTAACAATCTTATTCCTTAAGTTTTGGAAGATCTGATTCTCTTTGACAAAGAGAATTTGAGTGTTACTGTCTGTGACTCTTGCCCATATTAAAACAGGCTTTTGAAAAGCTTTTTGACAACATTAAGAAATATTTTGGGCGCTTCTTGAAATTCACATTCTGTGTTTGAAATGTGTCAGGACATATCAAAATAGGTTTTTGCTAATATTTAAAAGTGTTCTAGGGTTACAGTAACATTTGAAATTTTATTTGGTCCAGTATCCTTATTTAGAGGAGAAACTATTCATTATATTTAGATGCTAGCAAGATATATTTTACTGGGGCACAGTGTCAAAGTGTTGGTATTTCCACTTGTTAATTTGAACTGCTAAAAACTGCCAAAAGAAGTCTTGTTGGTATGAATTCTATCTTACTGCAGAAACAATAGATCTTGATCTGACAGTTGCATTTTGAGTCCCTTCCTTGAAGACAAAGTACTCCTCCTTACTAAAAAAGCACCCGTGGTGTCTTGGATATGTTAGATTCTGCCTAAGTAATTTTCTCTACCAGTATCTGGCCTCCATTGCTAGATGAGAACACTTGCTTAACACAGTGCCAGCATCTGAGTGTCACACTACTTCTTTTTATTTTTTGTTTGTTTTACAGAAGCACTGGTGATTAAATACATTACATTTAATGAATGCATTTTTAAACTGAGATCCTTAGTTCCTGAGACATGGGAACTATATGATTCCTAGTTAGGGTTTCCATAACAACTCTAATATGCCCTCTTTGCACATTTTTAGTGATGGGTCAGATAAAATAAGCCTCTCTTTTCTCCAAATAGCTTATGAAATTTGAAACTAAATACAAACTTGTCTTTTAAAAACTCAAAACACTGAATAATTATTACCCTCACCTCACCTATTCTTCCTTACTTCACATTTTAAAGGACTTGTCAGGTACCAACAGAAAACAAACAACTGAAAGGTAAGTAGAATTTGGCAAGACTTTGAGCCAAATCTTGATGATATAAAGGATTTATTAGTATGGAAATATAAGAAATTATCAACCCAAACCCTACTAAGTCATGGGTCAAATCCATCTTTTAATTAAACCAAATTTCAAAAATATCATCATGCTGCTTTCAAGCTAAGCATGAATTATAGCTGGTTTGGACACAGCAAGGATTTCTTCAATTCCTTAGCTTTGCCTAGCATAAAAGAAGCTCACTGATTTCTGATGTCCATTTAAAAATGTCCATAGAAATAAGAGCACAGGGAAGTGTGGCTGGAGTTTGGCTTTGTGCCTGTCCATCTGCCTAACCAACTTTTCCCCCCATTTGTCTTGATTCCATTTATACATCTGTCCTATATTTGTATTCTTGGTGTTTTATACAGGACAAGAGCACGCTGCTCATCCTTTGTGAGAATGGCTTTGCTGTCCAGGTTCCTGCCCCTCTGCGTGGGAAGCATGATGCAGCAACCACCTATCACATAAAAAACCTGCCAACACAGTACTTCCATTTTTATAGTATTAAATCCAAACTCAAGGTAAAAAACTCTTCTGTGGCAGAATTCCATCTTCTTCATTGTGTCAGGTGATCAAACTACCCAAAAGAGTTTCTAGTCCCTGTATTTCATCACAGGGTTTTTGCTAAGCTCCTTGAAATGGAATGCCAGGTAGAAGTAATTTGTGACGTGAAATTGAAGTTGGTTTTGGTTTATTCAAACCTACATGACACTGAAAGCATGATGTGAATTTTGGTTATGATTAGAAGACAGCATTAGAGAAAGGGAAAGGTTGTTAATTAGTTCTAAAATTATTTTAATTTTGGTAATTTTCACAAAAAGCATATTTATTGTGGCTGATATTCACCCTGTAGCAAATTTCTTTCAACAGTTACCTTGAAGCAAATATGAAACATTACTTTTTAGCAGTATTTCTGACTTTAAAAACTGTTTTCTTTTTAAAGGTGTGCATTTAATTTCTAAATGGCACTTAGTGTTTAAAAGAATATGTGGGGCCAAAGGAAAAGACATATCAACTCACAGCTGTAGTTAGTTTTGTGAAACTAAAAGCAAGCTGATGTTAGGCTCAGAAGGAGAACTCCAGTGAGCAGGGTCTCAGTTCCATACTCAATCCAGTTCCATACTCAATCTACTTTACATTCAACATCCTCTCTGGTTCTGTTGTTAACTTGTGATTTCTCTGCCTTTTCTGGTAACTGCTCCTGTATTACTGAATGTCAGACAAAGCTTCATTTTGTGTTGCAACTTGGAGGAAGTCAGCATTCAGGAGAAAGATTTCTAGATGTTTTTTCACAGCAATATCTATAAGAACGATCACAAAGCATGCATATGAAAGGAAAGATTAAAATAATAGGTGTAGAGTTTTGTTGGTTTTCTTGTTTGTTTATTTTTTGATTGGTTTTGTTTTGGCTTTTTTTGTCAAATGAGAAGAATAATATTGAGAAACACTCTAAATCACTAAAAATAAAAAAATATGTTTCTACAGAGAGAAGGAATATTAATGACTCTTTTTACCTTGGAAACAGATAAATAATTAATAAGTTACAACAAGGATGTTTTAATGTAAGGAAAGATTTCTCACAGTAAGGGTAGTGAAACACTAAAGTAGTTTTTATAGTCTGTAGAGTCCCTAGAACAGGATATTTTTAAAAAGGTAAAACAGACAAAGATCAGCTGATAATATTTAAGGGTTTGCTGGTTTGGCTGTCTAGTATCTTCTTAGGAAGCTACTGTTTTAGAGAATGCTTGATACTTGTTTATGCTACATTAGTCTTGAATGGGAGAGAATTTTAAAGGTTCGATAAATCTTTCCTTCATTTTTCAGATGAAGTTAAATCAGTTACAGCTTCTCTCTTTTGCTCTATACCAATGATGGACTAGAACTTGTTTGAGTTCAGCTTTCCAGTGCTTTTCTTTCTCCATGGCAGGCAGGGGACAGGACTTAGAATTTCTGCAGGAGTAAGCATAGTGTTGAAAATTTGGACTAATCTCTCTGAGGAAATATTGAAATCTGCTTGCCATTTGGAATTATTTCTGTTTCAAAGGACCAAGAGTAAATACTTCAGAGGAGGGAGATGGGGGCATTTCACTGGAGAGTCCCATGAAGTCTGGTTGATCTCTACTAAGTTGACAGGAAAGAGATTTCTGTAGATATTCTGTATGTGTAATGCCAGGACCACCTTGGATTACATTTATGAGACTCCTTCAGTCAGTGTTGTGTGGGGTGCCTTGGTTTCATGTCTCGGTGTTTCTCTGCTCATTGTAATAGCTGGGAGAGGAGATTGCACGGAGAGAGAAAGAAAAGCAAGAGAAGGAGAAGGCAAGGCTTGAATGGATAAAGCAGCAAAAGGAGCTGGGACTTGAGGTACAAGAAACGAATGAGGAAGAACCTGAAGAAGAGCCATTGCCACCTATCTACATACCAGAGGAGCCCAGTCCCATCCTCTGTGGCTTTTATGCAGCACCAGAAAAATTTTGGCTTTCCTTGGTAAATCATGTTGATTTTTTTTTTTTTTTTTTTACTTCATGTTGATGGGCTTGCATGATGTGACATCCTTTCACTTTGAAACCTGTCATTCCGAGGATATCAAGTTCCTTTCATCCTTGACAGTTTCAGTGTTTTTTGTGAATTAAACCAGTAGTGTCACTCTGATTCAGATTGTTTGGTAAATATCCAGTAGGTGCCCTTCTTGGTGGTGCCTGAATGAGCACAAAGATTGAGCTCTTCCCTCACAAGCAGAAGGTAGAATTTTAACATAGTGGTAGAATGGCTTTTAATGCCAGAGATCATGACACACTTCTGCCTGTGGATAAATAGGATCTCTAGGTGTTTGGAAGTAGCATTTTCTAGCCATTCACAGATCCTTAAGAAAGGAAGAATTATTCTGAAATTTGCATTTTCCTGGTCAGCTGTTTCAGTTTTGTTTTGTCATTGTTTCCTTATCATCCTTCTCTTCTTCAGGGTGGGTATGACTCAGGATTTCTCTATCATTGCGAATTCTCACATGATAATAAAGAAGACCCTGAAAAGAGGAAAGATGAACCCTTTGAAGTGATTCCTATGGAGAACACTGACAACAATCCCATTCACCAAATCTCCTTCTGGTAAAACACTGTAATGTAATAAATAGCTCTGGGATAAAGCTTGATGAAATTGAACTTGGAAGGGAGGAGTGTATGCTCCTTTGTCCTTTTCAGTTGTGGCTCAGCTCTAGTATACATGAACTCTCTCTGGTTTTCCTGGCACTGAATTTCACCTAAAATTCCTAATAAACATAGCTGAGCCAGGTGTCTGATAGAATAATTTTAAAAGACCTTCAAAGATGAAAAAATGGGATTTCTAAGTAAATACTGACTATAATTCAACCACTCTAGATTGTAGAACTCCAGGAGAACACTTAGAAGTCCCTGCATATACTGATCACCAGAACAGCAGTTCTTTATCATAGTTAACAAAAAGAATTAGAACATGGAACAGTCAGTCCATCCCTCTAGTGCTAAGAATATAGGCTTCTCAGAACATTCTGTGAACTGTACAAATGGAAAGGCTGGATTTTTTTCAGACTCCCAGTATTAGGTTCTCTGTAAGAATAGGCATGTTCTGCATCAAAGGGAAGCAAGTTTAATTCTGGCTTTAATCTACTGCTGGCTGCATTCATCACCATCTGTACTAAATGGGGAGCAGGGACTAAAAACTGCTTTTCTAGCTTTTAACTTGGTATCTGCTACACTGCCAAGCTCAGGGCTAATACTAGTTCTAAGATACCTAGCAAATGCTGGAATGTTCCTGAGCAGCCAGTTAGCTGCAAAAACACTTCATAGTAGAATCACACATACTTTAAATACTTTGCTTTCAGCTTCCAAACTTGGGAAAGTGATTTCTATTAAGCTAGATCAGCTCTTTTCATATTTTGAGCTTGCTTGTTACAAGTTGCTGCTATTACTGTTTCTTGTTGTTTGTTTAACAGTAGCCACAGCCCCCTGATGTTCTGTGGGATGCAGGATGGCTCGCTGCGTGCTTATCCTCTCGCTTATCCTCTCGGTGAGAAAGGCCTCTCAGTGGGTGCCCTGAAGGACTATTGGTACCTGAATGTACATGACAATGACAATGGGCAGATCCGGGGGATCTGTTGTAGTCATGATGACAGGTGTCTGATTACCTGTGGTGGAGATGGAAACATTTTTACATTTGACCTCTGGTCAGAGGAGGAGCTTCCCAAAGAGCCAAAAGTCACAATCCCCCCTCCTAGGGTAAGTTGGTACCCTCTTTCACTGAATTAGGCCTTTTGGTATGAAACTACCCAGATGGGCAAACATGGTTCATTTATTTTTCGTAAAGATCTTTCACAGCAAAAGCTGAAGTTTCCCAAACTATTTAGAAGAATAGCTCTTGCAAAACATTCCCTAATAGATGGGCTCTGGGACTGCACTATTCCTTCTCAGTGTTTTGTGTTTTTCTCCAAATAAATATAGTATGTGTTATTCATATGTAATATTCTTCCAGTGCTTTCCCACTCAAAGGTGTAGTCATACACATTCCTGGAATGAAAGAATTGCAAGGATTTCTCTTGCTTCATACCTTTCTTGGGTTTAATTCCAGTAAAGTATGATTCTGCTCTGGATGGGAATTCTAGAAATACTATTGGAGAGTACCATATGTGTAGTTTCTCCATACACCTAGTACCATTCATGTAAAATTCACAATGGGTTTTTCCATTTGCAAAATAGCACAACACAATGCTGATCCTGTTGCTCTTTCACTCTTGGGCAGCATTAGTAGTAGTGAATTTACAGGTGTCCTGTACTCACTGCAGAGCTGATCACCTCTAGCACATTTAAACAGATGACACTGGAACTCAGAAGCAGTTCTACTGATACTGTACAAGAAGAGGGATGTCAACTAAAATGTTCAGACTTCGTTGAATTTTTAAAAAGTCTTAAGAGTGTCTGAATTTAGTAACTATAACTTGAAAGAAGCAGTGAGAGCTGTTGAGTAAAGTGTCATTGTGCACAATAGGCATTCAGTAAAGTTTAAAAATCTTTAAAGTGTCAACATAAAAAAATTAACTTTTAAATATGTTTTAATACTGGTTAATAACTACATTTTGAAGGAAGCTTGGCAACAGAGACAGAGGAAATTGTGACTTTGGTCATTCAGCTAAATTGTTCATGACTAGTTGGACTTCTTTACCAGTATGACAAGAATATATAGCACTGAGAATGGAGCTAGAGTTATTTTCTAAAAGTGAATTATTAGAACTTTTGATATCAGAGCCTTACTAACTCCAGTATTGGAAGAAGTTATTAATATCCAATTATAAAGCATATATACAGATTTATAGTTTTAAATATGTAAGTAGCTCTATATAAAGACCTTTATGGTCAGTTCTATTGTTCAGGCTAACAGCATTGCTTAATGACCATTCTAGTAGAGTTTTTCCCTTTTCAAAGTATATCTTCATTAAATATCTATTCTAGTTTTAAGTCATGTGGAAAATTAAAAAAAAATTTATCTTCATTAAACTTAATGAGATTCTTAGAGAATCCAATACAAATCATCTGAAACTAACTAAGTTAAATTACAGATCAATTAAGTACAACTAAATTGTTGGGTGATAGTCCCCCCTCTTTTTTCAGAGCATGATTGCCTAGGGAAATGAGGCTTGTGCTACTGCAATGTCCATCCATCTGTCATTCTTCACAGCTAATAATTGTGAATCCATTATGCAGTCAGCAAAAGCCAACCAGATTAATTACAGATGTAACTTAGAATTAGCCCATGACACACTGACTCTTGTTAATGTGGCAGTGAGGGGAGACAAGAGAATTGGGCTGGGGGATAGAGAACCAAAGATGTTATGGGACAGAGTGAACTTAGGACAAGCAATGATGTAATAATTTATGCCACTGGGGAGGTTATAGGGTGTTCTCTGTCCCTAATGTTTCATTAGTTCTTTTACATATAAACCAGCTTCCTTGCTTTTTCTGCTTGAAACATTACAACACAGTATTTAAGGCTCAGATAGTAATATTGAAAATGAAGATTTCTTTTGTTTTTGTGAGAGGTGGTGAGAGCTCTGTCTTAATGTTTATAAAAGCTTTATTGTCTGTTGAAACTATAACTGCTTGTTTAAAGACAATACAATGTTTTTATTCCAGAGAGGTCTTGAGAAGGAGAAGGCTACTGAAGACATTAAGGATCCTGATGCCTACACGTAAGAGATGCTTAGATAATGATGAATAGGATTTTCAAGTGTTGGTAGCTCTTTTTGCATGTATTTCTTTTTGCCTACAAAGAGGAGGGACAAGTTGATCACCCTGAATTTGGGTCATTTATTTGTGAAACACAGTTTTTTCAGCCCTTCTCTCCATTTCATCTATTTTTATCTGGAAATAATTCAAATGTCATACTATGAGGTAGTTAACTTCAGACTACAGAGACAGCTAAAGGTCAAAGCCCCTTGATGTTAAGAGTGTACAAATATGTTAAGAGTATACAGAAGGTGATTCCTTTTTAAGTTACCTTAAGAACCATTGAGTTCACTGGGAATTTAAGATTGTCAAGGAAATCTAAAAGGTCATATAAACTGTAATCTTTCCACTCTTGCATTGAGATAACGTAATTTCTGTTTTATGCATTTTCAGTATTGAGGAATACAAGCAGAAAAAGGAGCATGAACGGAAAATGAAGGAAGCTGAAGAAAAGAAAAATAAGAAAAGAGAGGAGTTAAGTGCACTGAGACAAGACTTTGTTTATCTCCTTCAAAAGAATCAGGAGTTGCCCATGCACATGCAGTTGCACAGAGAGGTACATCTGGCTTTTATTAGGGTCATTTACATTTACAGGCACCTTCTTGTAAAATGTTGCTACATATCATATTGGGGCGAAGGATGTCCAATACTTTGGATTAAGGTAGTTTTAAAAATATATAAATTGGTGGACTTCTGAATCACAGCTGATTATTTGTGCCAATTAAGAAGGACAGGAAAAAAATGTGGTTCTCTGTGGAGATAGCTTCTGAAATAAAGGATAGTATTGATGTGCATGCAACTAAGGCACCAGGTAAAAATATTAGTTATGAAGACCTAGTAGCCAAAATAATATGATGCTGGGTTTTCCATCTTCTTGCAGGAGTTTGAGATGGACCGTAGGATCTTTGAAGAGCTGGATAGGCAGACACTACAGAGAATCCAGTTAGTGCAAAAGCAGCTGGCTTGGGAGCATGAGAAACAATTCATTGGACTGCAGAAACTACAAACACAGTAATTACCACTTTTCTTCTACTTTTCTCCCTCACCTTCCATGGGGCTTATTGTCTATGAAGTTGTACCTCCCACAAGAAAAAGGAATGTGATTTATTTTTTCTCTCTCTCTCATATAATCAGAACTTAATCTGTTCTGTTATGATTCTGCTCTTATTTAAGAATCTTATTTATTCTTGGAACATACACAAGAGTATATGTTCATATTTATGTGGAATGACTTCTATTGAATCTTTGGCAAAAATGCAGATAGTCAAATGAAGGAAATTACTTCATTTGGATTCACTTCTGTATGAAGAAAGCTGGTTGAGACTATTTTCCTGGGGTTTTGCCAGTAAGTTCAATAAGAACCAAGAACTCTTACGGAAATGTTGAAAAACAACCTGTGAAATGAATGCCTGTTTTTAAGACATATTGTGTGTCTGTCAGATATTTTAATGTCATTTCTAACACAGTGTTCTCTATATAATTTGATTTTACAAAAGAACTTTCTCAAGAATAGAAGTTTAAGCATGAGGTGCATTTTGAGTTGGTTTTCATAGATCTAGGTAAGAGCAAAGGATGAATTAATAAAATAAATACACAATTAAAAAACCACCTTAGGCACACAGAGCATGTGACTGGGAAAAATGATAGAATGAGCATGTTTATGATAAGTCCTTAATGGAAGATGAAATTTATTGTCATGAAGAACCTGGTATAAGTTTCAATATTGGGAAAAGTCTTCATGTGGTTATTCTTGACCATCTCCATTCCTAGATTGGATAAAAGTATATAGACGGTGTCAGATGTCATCAGGCTAAGCAATTTCTTACTGACTTGTGGATTTACATTTGAGGATTGCATGTGCAATAATTACACTCTTCATGCCCTTTTGGTCAAGGTAAAATGGTATTTTGTGTCCACTGACATCAGACAGTTTTGTCTAATTTGGGATTCCAGGTTTTGGGACTCTCTGGAATTTACTCTCACTGTTCATGCTATTCAAACCAATCATCAGATTTCGACCTACAGCCTTCTAACAGTGTCTGAGAAATATGGCCAAGATAAGAAACATGAGGACAGCAAGTGGGCAGTACATAAAGAGAAGTGGACAGCACTTAAAGAGGCAGAACAAGCAGAAGAGGAGATCCACAGAGAGACAAGCCCTGTGCATAGAGGTAACGATAACCATTTAAAACTTTCAGTAATATGGTTTCTGTCTTTCATCTCAGTTTGTGTTCCTGAGTCCAAGTAAAAGAAATACATGTGTAAGTGCAGGTAAAGAAATATAGCTGTGATGGTTTTTTAGTACCTATATGCAAAGTAAAACTCATACATAGTTATCCATGTTTAGATCAATGTCAGCAATTGTCTGTCAGCCCCATGGGTAGAATGTGACTAAAAGTCAAGTCAAAGAACCTGAATACTTTCAAAGCATCCACTACAATGGAACTATCCTGATTTACATCAGTTCTACAGGAGTTATCTGAGGGAGTTTCCAGTAGCTGGGACTGCACTGTGCTTCAACATGGTTATATTTTGTTTCAGGAAGTGTAGTTTTTGAGAATGAGGCTGAAAGGCTGAAGACACCAGAGGTCCGAAAGCCAACCACGCGTTATATAGAAAGCAGACGTCAGAAAATCAGAAGCCTTGTTGAGAAATACGATGCACTGAAAGCCAAGATCATGAAGAGGAGGGCAGAGTGGCATGAATTGTGAGTCTTGAACTGGACTCTGTTCCCTTTTAGTTCTGCTTCTTGTTTGAGATCAAGTAATGCTATTTAGCTGTCATATGGCACTATAATCTCCCTGCTTAGGTTTTTGTGTTCCTAAGGGTTGTAATTAAAACAGATGAATTTTCATGTATCTCCAAGTTTCGAGAGAGCATTAGAATATATTTAGTTTCTATGGTTCCTGTAAAACATTATCAAATTTGAATTCAGCTAGGTAGCTGCATTTTCAGATAGGGAGTAAAATGTGTCTAAATGGATCATGACTGAGACACCTACTCCATTACAGTCAACTCTTTGTGAATCCTGCCAGCCCCACATGGAGCAGATACTGTAACAGCTGGGTTAGGTCAGCATCATGTGAGTGTTTGTGATATGCTGTCATGCTCCATGCTGGTCTTTATCTTAAGCAGCAAGAAAGGGGGACAGGATGTCTTTCACAGAATCATAGAATATCCTGAGTTGGAAGGGATCCACAAGATCCATAAAAGTCCAGCTCATGTCCTTGCACATGGCAGCCTCAAGAGTCACACACCGTACCTGAGAACTTGTCCAAACACTCCTTGAACTCTGTCAGGCTTGGTGCTGTGACCACTTCCCTGGGGAGCCTGTTCCAGTGTCCAACCATCCTCTGGGTGAAGAACCTTTTCCAAATATCTAACCTAAGTCATATCTTTGAATGACCACTTTTTCAAGGCTGTGTTAGATGGGGCTTTGAGTGACCTAGTCTAGTGGAAGGTTCCCCTGTCCATGGCAGGGGCGCTGGAATGAGGGTGATCTTTAAGGTCCCTTATAACCCAAACCATTCTATGCTCATGGAATACAGAAGTTCTTCCTTAGGAGATGAATGGCAGGGAACAGGACCAATGTAGAGTCAGAGTACAAAGCTTTTAAGGTTATTTAGTGTTTAACAATGTAGAGTAGGATCAAGTATTCTGTGCTACAGGCTGGTAGATTTTTATGTGGCTCCCTGAAATTGATAGCAACATGTACTCACTTAACCCAGAACTCAGTCTGAGTGTGAAGGTTTAAACTTTCCCATGCCAGAGCTTTGTTTTAAGAATTCTTAGGAGGAAAAAAAATCTGGGATTTTCATTTAAATGTGCAAGGATGTTCTTTCCAAAGTAGCCATTCTTTTCTGAGAGAGATGTATCACTCTTTCACCTCCCAAACTTTGCTGCCCAAGTCAGAGGGTATGACATGACTGTTCATTTGTATGCTTTCTATCTTGGCAAGTTCAGCTTTATTTTGTATCTACCAGATACAAGAGCAAACCTAGAGATAACTATGAGAATTCCAAAGATGCTGAGGAGATCAAAGCAGCACGGGAGAATATAGGATGTTACAGGCTGAAGAGTGCCACTAACTACACACTCACTGAAAATGAGCGTATAAGCACTGAAAAGAAGATGATGCAGCTTGCAATCCTGGAAGACTTGGTGTGTAAAACTGTGTATATTGCCCTCTTTTTGGTAGGGGACATGAGGATAATGTATTGATCTCTGAAGAATTTTTTTGAAAAGTGAGCATGGGAATAGGCCTTGAAGGACAGACGACTGTTTTGAGTAAGCTTTAGTTACAAATCAGCTCTTCTCTTGTGAACTGTCTCGTGCTTCAACAAACCCAAACCCAAATCATTCCAGAGTGACTCCTTATAAATGAGAAAGAGAATTTAGCTTTACTAGTATTTCAGCAGGAACACCTGTCTTTTTAAATTAGAAGTCTTATAATCTAGTAAAACACAAAGCTAAATAACCCCTGCTGTGAAATACCTTAACAAAACCAGGGATGTGAGCAAGGAAAAGTGTTCTAGCGTGGCCTCTCTGTATTTGCACTTTGGCAATCACTGCTCCTGGAATTGGAATCTTCCTAAGAACCAGGTTTTTTGGAGCCACCTTGCTACAGTAGGACTCCTACAGTTACCACACATCTTTCAACCTCAAAGACACAATAAGTTCAAATGTTGTGCAGTATCTTTTTTGCTTTCCCTGTGACTTCTTTCCCCCCATCCTTCTCATAGGAATGGTTTTTCATTGTATTTGGCTGGACTGCAAAAGAGTGACACTGGATAACTTTGCCGGCGAGGCCTAAGCATTACAGAAGCAATTCTACAGTCTCAGGGGATTTATTGGATCATTTTAGTCTCATGCCTGGGCTTCAGCACTTCACTGTAGTGTTGATGCTATCAGATAGCCAGTGATTAACCCAACTCATTAGAACAAACAAAGGGAATAATTCTTGTCATAAATTCTGGGTTTATAATGATGAGGAATTCCACTTGCTTCAGGTGGATGGTGTGTTATTTTCTTTTATAAAGATCAGAGAAGTTTCTGCCAAATATATTCATGATAGATCACATTCAATTATTACTTAATGTAAAAGAGTCAACTAATCATGTCCCTTTATCACAGAATGATTAATAATCCTAATTTTAGCCTTCTTGAGTTGGGTAGGACTACTTCCTGTGGTAGAGAATCCTACTAAAATAGTTTTTCCTTTGTAGATTCATAAGACAAAAGTGAATATGAACAAAGAGATTGTGTCTTTGAGGGACCTCAAGGTTTCTACTATTGATGAAATCAAGAGTTTAGTGAAGGAAGTCAAATCCATACAGGCAAGATTGGATGTATCAGAACATCTCCCTATTCCCCTGATCCCTCAGTTACACCCAGATGAGGTTCCTGAAAAAATAGTTGAGCACAACAGTGATGTCCTCCTAAAGTTCAAAGAGGAGCAGGAGGCCAAGGCAAAGCTCAAGGAACCACTGGAAGGGTGTCCCTCGTCTCGTGCATTTAGGCACATGCTTCTTCAAACTCCTCTAGTGGAAGAGGGTGCCCCCATGGCACAGGCTGGAGATGCATCAGCTGTGGTCACAGAGGAGAAGGAGGCTTTTGAGATGGAGAAAGCAGAGCCAACAGAAATGGAACTGGAAATTTTAAAGAGGGAGAAGATAAAAAATCTATACTTGCAGGAGACCTTGATTAAAAAGGTAGGAAATTGAAAGATATTTTTGTCAGATTAAAAAAATCCCACTGGTTCATCGATGAAACCAAAACCCCTCCTGTCTCAGGATTGCAGCTAGTCTTGCCTTTCTGCAGTCCTGGAAAATGCTAACTGTTGCAAATTTACAGTGGAAATCAGTATAAATCCATAACTATAATCTGTGTTGTGACTATTATCACTTGAACGATATTTTAGATTCCTTATTGATTGTGCCATGAAGCTATGATCTTAGTGGCAAAAAAAAAAAAAAAAAAAAAAAGCAAAAAATAAGACAAGTAAAATGTTAGACATAACTTGAAAAATTACAGAGTCAAAAAAGCAGCATCACTGCAACTTTGTAGATTCATGTTCTCAGCTCTTCAATAACTGTGGTTTCAACTTTTTAGTCCAAAAATTACTTTGAAGGATTAGAAAAGGTACAAAAGAGAGTAACCAAAATGCTTACTCATGGAAAAGATTCTTTAAAGGATACATCTAAGTGGATAAAGTATCTTTGGCCTGTGAAAAGGACAACTGATATCGTTTTAGAGATGTGATAAAATTCTGAATAACATAGAAAAGGAGGGTGGGAATCATCTCTTAAAAGAAGGAGATATATCAAATGAAATGGTCACACAGAAAGGTTGAAGAATGAAAATGAAAATAGTTTTCCTATCCAATAATAAGCTAAGCTTTGGAACTCAGTGCTAGGATGTGGGGGAAGCTGTAATTTGATAGCGTGGAACAAAAAAATCCATTCAAAGCTGTTGAACAAAGTATACTGCTTCAAACTCAGGATGTCCCTAAGTCAGAGTTTAGGAGGGTACAGAGAGCAGTATACCAGAGGTGTGCCACTGTTCACTTGTTCGCTCCATTTCTTAGCATCTCTTTAATTTCTGCTGCTGGGAGTTGATTCTTTGGTCTGCCTCAACACAGACACCCTTGTGTTTATGTGTATGAAGGTTTTGAGGGAATACCCAAATTCTGCTGTGAACATCACACACCTGTAAGTTAATGTTAGCAGCTGGTAGTACTTATTTAGCTGTAAATGTCTAAGGGCAGCAGCTATTTCAAAAGATGTCTGTCAAGGCAGAAGAGTTATTTATTGATGGATCTGGGATTGTTGTATAAACTACTGTAAACTATGGACTACTCTAAAACATTCTCTGAAGAGTAAAATACTTCAGGGATGGAGGGGATGCAGTGAAGGATTCCTGTGACACCCTGGTGATTCTTTTACTATTATGCTGAGAAGAAAGACAAAGATTTGGGATTAACTTTGTCTTTCAAAGTGCATCAGTACTCTCTAGGAAATAGCATATCTGAGTTGTTGATTTGGCAGAGAGAATTTTTCCCTTCTGCTCCCTTCTCTAGCTTTGCATGTTTAACTGCACTGATAATACTTTTCCTGTTCCTGATTTCACACTCCTTTGCTCCAGATCAACACACTGGTGATCAACTTTGATGCTGAACTTCACCTTTTGCGGCACAAGAAACTGAAGATGGATGTGCAGATGAAAAGTGCTGATCTGCGCTGCATCACATGCTGTGAAGAGCTGCTTGTCCTGAAGAAACTTGAGGTACATGAGGACCTTCTTGAGGAGCAAATCTGTACCCTCATCAATGAACAGGAGGACACACATGTAAGTAGACCACATGTACCATTAATTTAAATTTAACAGTTAATTTAAAATTTAATAGTTAATTTTAACCATTAATGCATGGCTTGAAACAAAGGTAAACCGTCAAGTAAATGGTGGCATCCTTTGGCTTTGTTTTAGCACTGATCCAGTGACTAGTGCTACATTTTGAAAAACAAGAAACTCTTGATGATCAGCCTAATAGGATGGTCACTTCTAACTTCCAATACTTAATTTGTTAATAATCTTAACATTTGTATTTTAATAGATCCGTCATGATATGGCCAAAGTGACTAATCACATACTTTAAGAACATATTCCTAGGTGATGCTTGATTGAACCATGGGTTTAATCAAGAAAGACAAGTTTAGCATTTCCAGATCTTCACAGATGCATCCTATATACATACACATGGGTTCAACCTTTTAACTGAAGTAGTTTTTTTGTTTGTTTAGTCAAAATTGAAGAGCTACCTTGCACAACTAGAGGACAGAAAGTGTGAGATTGTAATGCTCGAGGAACGTAAGAAAGCTCTTTATGCCAGCTTCGAAGCATCTCTTGGAGAAAACAATGAATTTGCTGATTTTCTGACCGACATTTTAAAGAAGGAAGTTGAGTACATGGAAAAAGAAGTAGGAAGAGGAGCAGGTTGGAGATTTTGTTCTTTTTGCTTTATGGATTTGTTATACATATTTCCATGTGGTCAAGTATATGTCTCTCATTCTATCTGGAGCCCTAAGTACACACAACATCCAGTCAGTTCAAAAATCTGTAGGTCAGACCTACCCAGATTTGTTTATAGACTGACAGTGTGTTCTGTGGCTGTCATCTTGAATGATAACAATGATGAAATCCAGTTTCTAACATGACTGCAGTTGGTCTGATAACAGTTCCTGCAATTTACATCCTGTAAGTCAATACGAGGACTGATAATTGGTAAGAGGAAGAGGCACAGCTTTAAATGGGTGTTTCCTGTGCTGTACTAATGGGAGCTATGGATAAGTGATTAGTCTGTTACATTCGTGACATTCTGCTCTAATCTGTCCATTGACTAATGAGAGATCATAAACCTAATCTGCAATCATCTATTAGTCACAGGACTAAACATATTACAAAAGGATTTCATTCATCATAGTGACTCAGTTTTAAGCTGTTAAAGCAAGGCAGTCTTACTGAGCTAAAATACTTCTGCTTTCTCTGACTTGGCTTTTGATTTAAAGTGGGACATGATTAGCAAAAAGTGCAGACAATGGTGATGTTTTATGACAGATTTGTGCATCCATATTCTGCTTGGTTGATTAATCTCTGCGGTAGAAAGGTAAACCCACACTGTTTAAGTTCCTAGCATATATAAAGAGAAGAAATATGTCGAAGTTAAGTCCCAAAAACATGGGCTGCACCTGTGCTTGTTCTACTACTAGGTGATACCTCTCTCTCTCTCTTTTCCCCTTTTTTTCTTTTTTCTTTTCTGTGAAAACATCGCATCAGATCAATGCAATAGGCACAAGGTGCCTGGATTCATGTATCACCAGAATGATCTTTCGTGATTTACTGGGCTTGTGTTCACCAGCACATTGGCATAATGCATAGCTGGTGGGTCTGGAGCATTTTGCAAGCCAGTTCCTGTTTCTTTCAGGTGAAGAAAATGAGAATGAAGAGGAGGATGATGGAAAGCCTGACTTAAAGACTGATGAAGAAAATTGTGGATCTAAAAGCATAGTCTTTGATGACTCTGTTCGCCCAGAAGGTACCTAAGCTGTTAGGTCCTTGTGTTAACTAGTTGTTTAGCTTTAGGGGTAACATCATGTGTTTGAAAAGAAAACACAGATTTAAAAAAAATTATTCACTGCATGGTAAAGTCATGAAGGGCTGGAATGTGTGCACCCCTCCTGTGTGCAGTATTTTTCCCCAGGAAACTTCAGCCAAGACAATAAAACTGCTGGTAGTGTAGACTACCCTAATTAAAAAAGATTGGACAAATAAGAATTAGCTAAGCCTAAGAATTAATTATTTTGTGTAAAGAAGCATTCACCATTTCATGGCTGTTACCTGGAGAGAAAAGGCTCTTCTCTTGAGTGAAGCAGCGGCAGCGCTGTAGCTGCTCTCTGGAAACAGCTGCCTGGCTGGACCCTCCCTGTTCAGGGAAGTTCTGAGGGGGAATCTCATGCTGTTAGTTGAAGCTCTTTGTTACCACCTCGTGGATTTATGCAGCAATTGCCTGTTGCTAGGCTGTTCTGAAAAGTTAGGAGCTTTATTTTGCAAAGTCCTCTTCATTTGTGCAATCAAAAAGGTAGGCAACTCTCTCTCTCCTTTTCTTTTGTAGGAGCTTAGCTAATTTAGGATGTTGTTTTTTTAAAAAATCTTTGAGTGCTGTGTCAGTGACCATGTAACAGCACTGCTTCATTTTTAAGTTCTAACTTACCAACAATTTGCCACCTTCCCCTTTTTTAAAATTGGATTTTAAAATCATTTCCACAAATTGAATTTTTATTAACTCCTTGTTCATCTCATTTTTCAATGGAATGTTAGGAAGAAATAAAGATTTTTATGTCTTACTTAAAATGTCCGAATTGCTAATTTAATAGGGTAATTGCATGTTGCATTAGTTTCTTCATATTTGTCTCTTTATGTGGAATTTTTTTTTTGCCTTTATTGAGCTCTCTTTTTTATTATTATGCCTGCTGATTTGGGCATAATTATGCACTTGCTAAGCACTACTGAAATCACAGTATTGATAGAAATTCACAGATCTTCCTTACCATGACACAGATTCTATGAAATACAGCTATGTTTACAAGTAGAGATATAAATGACCCCTACAGCAAGTTCATAATTTATAATAAAGGCTGCTATGGAGAAACAACTATGTGCTCACATAATTGAAGATTTTACTGCAACACATATTAACTACTGGGACTGCATTGCTTACAAAAGCTAATTTTTGAGCACTTGCTTTTAATGCTGGCTTTGATGCATTTAATCTGACTTCTGGAAACAAACTACCTCGACTGAATGTTAAGAAGAAAAAGATCCAGCCAAGACATTCACCCAGTCACAGAGGCACATGGCCCATGGGTTTAAGGAAGATCTAGGGAACCAAAGCCATGGTGTTATTAAGGGGAATGCTGGGAATGTGCACAGCAGGAGAAGGTACCAGCTCTACCCAGTAACTCCAGAGCAGTCACAGTGAAAGTAAGCTCTTCTTTGACCCTTTCCCTTTCAGGCTGCAGTGAGGATCTCTTCCTGAACACCATCCAGCTCCGGCAGCAGCGGATAGGCATTGAGAAAGCTCTAGAAGAGGAGAAGAAAGTTGCTGGTGACCTCAAAAAGGAATATAATGCCTTGGTCAAAAAGGTATTGTAGTGTTTTCTCAGAAAGCATCAGCATGTTCAGTGGAGTGCTAGTGATTAGTGCTGGGCTAAGATTTAAAACCAGAATCCTAACCCTCTGAGAGGCCTCTGTTTGGGAAGAGATATCTGTGGTGGCACAGAAGCAGGAGGCAGCTGGACATGGTCACCTGTTCTCCTGGAAAGGGTAAACAAGTTGGTCCAACCTTAACTTTCATGGGTCTGGATCCAGGTTTTAGGTCAGTTCCCTCCCAGATGTCTAGCCTCATGCAGCAGCAGGAACTGGATTCTCTGGTTCAGATGAAACTCATGGTGTGGTCTGGCCTATCCTCTGTGTGTGTGTATGAGAACAGAGATTGAAGACTACTTGCCTTAGCACAAATCCAGGTTAAAATAAATGCAAAAAAAAAAAAAATCTATTCTTCCATCTATTTATTTTGCTTTTAGTTATTTTCCATTGCTCTTTGTCACAGGTAATCACTGAATAAACTTTTGGTACAAATTTTCCATTTTGATTTTTTGAACTCCTGCATTCTTTAAGAAATTTGATTTGTACTAATTAAAAATATCTTATTTTAAATGGTTATCTGGAAAATAGAGGGTGCTACCAAAAGAACATTATGCAAGCCTTGTGCTTTTTCTGTCTCAAAAATGTTCCATCAAGCATGTTTAATATCAACATACTTAACGTTTTTGAGTTTTTGAGTTTTTAAAGGCTTTTCTAAGTGCCAGCTGCCACATATTCACCCTGGGGCATGACATTTGAGTCTGAATTGTTTCTGTCTCATGCAGAATCAATAAGCATTTCCAGGCATAACACAATAAAAATTATCTTGCAGGCTCTGTAGATCTGCAAGTGGTTTAGATGCTAAACAAAGCAGCTGTCTCTTGATACATACAGGGCAGCTCTAAGGAGGCAGTCACAAGTGTACATGTGTGCAGAGGTATCCTTGCTTGAATATATGTAGATGATCCTTGGGTTTGCCTACGAAACTCACCTATCATATGTAGTTGAAAAAAAGCACATTTTTATACATTTCTTTCCCTTTCGCTCATGAACTCTAAAAGAACCTTGTTGCCCTATGTATTGTAAGTATCACAGGATTTTGTTTGTCCGCAATTTGTCCTTCTGCAGGCAAAAGAAATAGAAACCAGTCTGGACACAACAAACAGGGAACTGGAGGCCTTTCAGTGGGAAAAGCTGCACAGACTAAATGAGCTGGATGTAGTTGTGCCTTTGAGACTCCATCAGGTAATTCAAGATGTGCATCTGCATGTGCAGAATGGCCTGTGTACATCTAAACAATGGTGTTACTGTTCTTTGGGGCCCTTAGTTCCTGATTCACTATGGTCACCTGGGAGGGAAGTGCCGTTAACTGAACTTCATGCCGCTATTTCCTCTAGAATTACCTTTTTTTTTCCCCTTCTCCTGTACTGACAGAAACGAGGTAAGGACAGGCAGGCTGGCCCATTTCTGAAATGTGTATAGTCTTCAAGTGCTGTATAGGTTTGGCATGGCACTCTTTCAGGTCCATACCTACTGATATTCTCCTGGGGAAAAAAAAATGAAACACCACCCCAGGAAAACAAATCAAAAAATCCCTGAAAAGTATTGAAACTAATGGGAATTCTGCCCAATTCAATAATTCCAGATTGAATACAATGAATTCAGTCACACAATTTGCTGGCCTAAAAAAAGGGATGTGCCCACGCCCACCTCACTCACTAGTTCTCTATTGCTCACACATTTTATATAAAGAGAATCTCCATCACCTTAATAAGTGAAGCCAGCCTTGCTTGTTTCTGGCTGCTTTTGCAGGTGCAGTGCTTGGTTGATGGGGAGATGCCCCGTGACTTCTCCCAGACTTTAGTATTTACCAACCAGTCCTTGCAGTACCTGCAGAAGAGAATTGTGGACCTACGTAATGAAAAGATAATGCAAAGAGAGATCCATAAGAAGGCCAAGGAGCAACATAAGCAGCTTCTCCAGGAGAAAAAGGAGATGGAGATGGAGATTCAACGTGAGTAACAGAGACTCTGAACAACACAGCATTGTTAATGTTCCTTCTGTCCCTCCCACTGGCTGTGGGTAATTCACCATGGCTCATACTCGCACAGATGTCACAGAGGGTTACTACAGAAAATAGAGCAGATCAAGTGGACTGTTTTGATGGAGCTGCAGTTCTCCAGCATTGCAGAGTCATCAGGCTGTGAAAAATAATTTAAGAACCTAGTATAAGTAGAGCTGACTGAGATGAGATGCTGGAAGTCTGGACACATGTTTGCTATTTCTCCTTGTAAACCAGAACTCCTAGCATAAAAGTAGTTTCTCCAAAGATACATAAGCTTTTTCTGGTAATTTCCTCCCCTTTGGAACATTTGGAGAAGGAAATAAACCTATTCAAAACACTTTTCCAAGAGCCAAACCCAAAGGTGTGTCTAGCACCACCAGACCTGCAGAGGCCCTATACAGCCTGTGGTATGAGAGTGGCTTACTAGGACAGGCTTAGAGTATGGCTTAGTGACCACACAGGCATGAGCATGGGCAAGGACAAGTGACATGACTCAGCTGTGAGCTCTGTGTGGTTTTGTGTGAATTATTTATTGCAGAGCAAATACCAAAGAGCTCAGACAAAAAGCTGGGGTAAAGCAGAAATTCTTGTAAACCAGTGCACGACAGTTCTGCCATTTTGTGCCAATGTCCCTCTGTTAGGACTGGAGGAGAGGTGCAATAATCTGATGATGGAGAAGTTTGGTCGGCTGGTTGATTTTGAAGCAGTTCAAGTCCACTCTGTTAATATACCCATGGAGCAGATGAAAGTGAGAATAATGGAGAAGGAGTATGAGCATTTCGTGGAGCTCAAAGAATGGGAGGTAAGCAGCAGGAAGAGGAGGAAGACACATGTGTTGTGATGAGCTGTTAAGGCTTCGTTTTCCTGAGGACTGAAAAGTTACACTAAAATCTTTTTTCAGCTTGCTCATGTTTGATTTTTTTAACTTGTCCTTAATAGACCATAGTGTTCAACTCCAATTTCCCATCATCATTGCTACCTCTGCTCCAGTTGCTGGTGCACATCCTATTTTTCAGGGAGGTAGCTGATGTCTCTGTTTTGCTTTTCTCAGACATATTCTCCTATTTCATTCCCTACATGAAACTCTTGCAGAGTGCTTTTCTCTGGTTCTCAGGTGGCATTCAGCACCTCCTGCCTTCTCTCAGTGCCTTTGGTGACAGACTTTGAGTACAGGGCAGGCTCTAGTTCATGCCTGGGGTGCCTGTCTGAAAAGTTCATGTCTCCATTTGGTGGAGCCTAAGGCTCAGCTGCTGTGGTGCAAGCAGGCAGCATGCTTATGCTGCCCTTACAGAAGAGCACAGGAGGGTACAGAAATGCTATGTACCTAATGGCTTTTTTTTTCTCACACATTTGCTGAACTGCTTTACTTACTTAGGCTTTGTAATTTAGATATATTTAAAACAATAAGATGACATCGCACTTAAGCTACTGTGGGATCAGATGGTGCGGCAGGATCAGTCTGTTGTTTAGCTGTGACATTTACATTGTGCCTAGCATTTCTTCCCCACTCAACACTTTTTGTCCTTTCTCATCCAAGATCAACTTTTTACATCTTTCTAGGAAAGAATTGTAGTCCTGCAGCATCAGCTAACGAAGCTGACAAGGGAAAACACCAGCAAGCTGCACCAGCTGAACAGATTTTGCCATGAAAAGCATCAGCTTGAAACTGAGCTGGAATCACTGACAACTGGTCAGGTGAGCCTTGTAGCCACTGCAGTGCTTGCAGGTTTGGGACTGTTCTGAAATGGGTAAGGGATCATCTGGCCCTCCTCAGCTCCCTGGTCTCACATGCTGCTCTGCAGTCAGCAGTTTAGGCTAGGAGTGGGACAGGCTGAATGGCTGCTCCATACCTTACCATCTCTGTTACTACTTAGCTGCTTTCTAAGACTGAAACAGACTAATGTCTAATTAAAATATGCCTTGAAGGAATTAAAAGAATATTCCTTTGTTACATGGAAACAGTCATATTACAGTTCTGTAAGAGCATTACAATGAGAAGTGGATTTATTGTTCTGTACCAGGGAGTAAGTCTAAGTTAGTGAACCTTCACTCTTTCACACAGTTCTGACTAAGGTGTGGGAAAGTCATGGGTATGTCCTGGTTCTTGGAAAGCTTCACTTTCCCTGCTTGAAATAAATTTCCACTGTTCATTGTCCGTATTTTATAGGAACCATTTTTTTCCTCTCCATTTTTTTCCTCTCCAGGGGGGAGAATTTGAGGGCACCCTAAGTGCTGACCTCAAAGAGACAGCCAGGCTGGAGTCACGGCTCATGCACATGACTTCTGAGGTGGCCCTTCTGAGAGAGGAAATCAGCCAGGGTGGAGTAGATGAGATGTAAAAGAACTCACTTTGCTTAGCAGAAAAGGTGGGTGCCTGTTTCTACAAGCTTTACCACAGGACTCCAACTCCCTGTTCAGAAATAGTATCTACCAATCCAAGTCACCCTTAAAATTAACTGTGGCAGCAGTAATGCCTGGAAGTGCAAAATTGTTTTGGCTATCCAGGGGTTTAGTTGAAAAGGGTTGTATTTGGTTTTTCTAGCAAAATATGACTGTAACAACATATTTGGAATAAAAAATAGCAAATAAAACTATTAAATACTGTTATCAGTCCATTGCAGAGGGTTGCACTGAACAAGGTGCCCATGTGTGAGCATTATGTCTGTGTCTACTCTTCAAAACAAATGGCTGTGGAAAGCTGATTTGAAGTTTTGAATATTTGAAGGGGCAAATATTGGCTTGGTACCTTGTTCTCAAAAATTATAAAAGATGTCTGCCTCAAGCAAGCATTTGTTCCTGCTGAGCACCAGTGGCCCTGCTCTGCTAACTGAGCTAGTTAAGAGTCCAGGGACACACTACTAGCCAGGAGAAAGCAAAGGGGCCTTTGCATTCTCCTTTGCATGGCCTTTGCCATGGCATTTACTGGCAAGGAGGAGGGTGTGACAATGCAAAGTCAGCCTGCAATTCCACTGGCTTGCACCTGCCTGATCAGTCAGAGGGCCAAGCTCTGTGTGTTTTCAGGTGTTGCTCTTTTTTGCCTCTCTTATTTGGTGTGGTGGCAGGATGTGATCATTTACAGCACTTACCCTGCCTGTGAAACCTTCCTTCATCCCCAGGGTTGAGGGGTTGGGTTCTTCCCATGCAAGGCTCCTGAGGTGCTAATTTTTAATGGAATAAATTAAACAACCTCCAGCTGCTCTAGCTGTTCCTCCCCACTTCCCACCTCTTGCCACAGGTCTTTGTGTCTGTCTGGTGCATACTCAGCAGGGCTCCAGCACAAGAACTTCCTGCTGGTCCCAGCACAAGCATGTGAATGGTGCTTGTGCAGCCTGCCCTTACAGAGGGTCCCTGCTGAGGAACACACCTGGTGCTGGGAGCTCTTGTGCAGCTGCAGGTTGTGCCGTGGGAGGTAGGAAATGGCTGGAGCCCCAGGCACGGGGCTGTCTGGCACCAATCCTTTGCCTAACAAAGGGCAAGGACATACTGGGTAACCACACACCCAGAGACTCAGCCGGAGACAGGGAAAGATAAGACCCCAGACTAAGCATCACCAGTGCCTATTTGGAAAACTCTAACTGCAGGAAAATGACACCTTTCCCCAGGTGTCCTGCTTGCTGTATGTCTGCAAGTGAAAAAGGAAAGGCTCATTCTGTGTGAGGAATCAGCTTAGAACCAGGCACAGCAAAGACTAAAGCCTTTATTTTAGTTGTTAAAGCGTGGATTTATCTTTACAGGTAGGCAGCTGCAGATGGCATGTATGTGAAAGGTTGTTTAAGTTGATTAGGCAGAGTGCATAACACCAGTCTATTCACAGGAGCATGTTCCTGGAACAAACTTTCCTGTGGGGGAGAGGAAAGGACCTTTTGGGCAGCATTATTTGTTGTGAAACCCTCGCTGCAAGAGGGTGCTGGCAGCTCTGTTTGGACCTATGTCCTGCAGTGTCCCTTGTCCAGCTGTTTCGATCGTGTGCTCTGATGGTGCCACTGGGAGCTGCTGCCTTGTTTCCTGGGTCCTCCTGTGACCTTGCTGAGGATGCCTTCTGTCTCCATAGCATTATAAAAGGCACATATACATCTATATACAAGTGCATAAATATATAAATAGGGGTGTTATACAAAAATAAATACCCTTTCTCTTTTTATCTTTAGAATAAGTCTTTTGCAAAAGGCAGGTGGTCCCTAGCTGGTGGGAGGATGAGTCTCTAAGGGTCTCAGTGGTGGAGGGCTGCTGTTCAGATGTCTTGGTAGATCCTGACCCAAAGATGTGATCACCGGATTCTGGGCATGGAGATCTCCTCTGGACTGGCAGCAGTCTAGTCTTTCTACCTCTTCAACTGGCACTAGGCCTAAGCAGCAAGGGCTTCCTGAGGGGGAAAGGAGGGGGAAAAGAAATTATTACAATGCACACTGAAAAGAGAGATGCAGTTGGAGGTTTCAACTCAACAGTTCACTTTATGAGAAGGGGTACTCTGATCAAAGAGGAACATCAGCATTCTGAAAGTCTGTGTGGAAATTTGATGATGCCATGATCACACAAAACAAGTCTGATCTGCACTACAGGGGTGGATCAATGGATTAGGTCCTAGAGAGATGGATTCGCATCACTTCACTATGAGCCATCAGAAAGGCTCTGCAGTGAGATTTCCCTTCAAGAACAGCCTAAAATGATGAGCTGAAGAAGGCATGGAGTTTTCCAAACCACTGACCTTGGTGGAGAAGGGTATCCCGTCGAGCATCCAGGCTAGGGCCTCCCACTTTGCTTCCCATCACAGGATGATGGAGGCCAACAAAGTGCTCTTGAAGATGAGGACAGTCATCTTGTGGCTGAAGAAGCTGGTGAGTGGAGTCATCTGGGAGACTGTAGAGGAAAGAGCTGTCTTCTGTTCTGGAGCTGGGCAATCTGGGGAAGCAGGCAGAGAGGTTTAGTGCTGTTTAAAGATCTTTCCTCCTTGAAAGATACAACTCATGTCATGTGTCAGCCAGTTCATCAATACTGTGACACAGATCATTCCTAAATGAGGGGAAGAGCAGAAATTGGGATGTTCTTGTGGGATGGGAATGAAGGGATATGAGACCTGGTATTCATGATCCAACAGGTGGTGAATGCCACTGGAGCTGGGAGGAATAATCCCTCACGGGAGCATGGCAATGAAGGATGTCTGAACAGTGAGACAGAAAGCACTCACAGCTGGACACTGGGCAGATTCTGGGGCAGCTGTTTAGCAACATCAGTCACAGATGTTTGCTTCTCTCATCCTGCTTTTCAGTCTCCCACTTAGGAACAGGAGGAGGAAAAGAAGACAGAGGGGAGTAGGTCTTGGCCACCTCTACAATTAAATTATTCCTTCCTGAAATCCTAAGAGGAATGAGTTGTGCAAAGATAATTTAGACCAAGGTGTCTTAGTGCTGGAGCACAGATTTGTTTGTCAAGAGTTGGGACAGATAGGAGTGTATTGAGGGCAGGCTTTTGTGAGCATGTAGTTTTGTGTGTCCCAGTGGATTGTTCCACCCTCCCTCTCCACAGGCCAGGACTAACCTGGAGGGCTGGTAGTCTTGCTGGGCACTCCCATTCTGCAGCACTCTTGCCTGCAGCAAGGCCTTGGTCTCTTCCTGTGACTGGAAGGAGAGAGAAGGATTCTTAGCAGAGCAATGACACGCAGCAGCATTAAGAAGTAGGTGCTGATCTGTGAGTCAGAGCCCTGGGGCAGATTGCTGAAGCTCTTACAGCAGAAGGCAGAAAAAGCTGAAACTGTTTCTTTTGCTACTGAGGGCAGTGAAACTGAGCACTGAAAAACTCACTTTACACTTACTGCTGAATGAGTGGGGTATAAGCAGTGTATAGACTCAACTCTGGCACTGCCTGTTACCCCTCTACAGAGAGAGTCCTCAACACTGTCAGTCCCTGTGAGCTTTGCTCCGGGGACATAGGAACTGTTCCCAAAAGAGTCACCTTTTCTCACTGCCTCCTCCATACTTGAGAGGCACTGGCCTAAGAAACCACCCCTTCACCAGTGTTTTGGAGACCTTCCTGTTCCCCCATGTCTCAGACTTCACTACGAAGGGGAAATGTCTTTTGGGAAGCCAGCCTTGCCAGTTCTACATGCTGCAAAGTGTGCCAGCCACGCCTGGAGAAGCCCCCTCACTGCAAGTGTGGCATCCATGACAAACCAGCTCTTGATCCCAGGTGTGGACTCACCTGTGGCATTTCATCAGGGCTGTAATCTCGGGGCTTGGTGCTTGTGTACCCCACTCCTGCAGAGGTGCAGATGCCATTCAGATGTGCCCTGCTGGCATAGGGCTGCCCATTAATAAAGGGATGTCCATTGGCACGAGGAGCAGAGATGCCTCTCAGAGGTACCATGGTGTACTGGCAGGATGACACCAGCAGCCCAGCTCCTGGGAAGCTCATGTCAATGGTTTGCTCTGCAGAGGGAAGGAAAAGAAAGTCTGAGGCAAAAATGAGAGGTAAAGTCAAGCTTGTTGAAGCTTAGCATGCATAGGTTTAGGCTGTCCTACCAGGCAGCTATTTTTGCACCCAAAGCACTCTTGGAAATAAATGGTGAAAAGGGGCCCTTTGCCTCTAGTGCCAGAAGCTCCTTTGCCACAAGGCAGGCAGGACAAGGGACAAAACAGTGGCCTTTGTCTTTATGGGGTTCCACAGGACATCTGAGACTTGCTCTCTGCCCACGCCTTCCCTGCTTCCCAGAATTCCCTCACATTTTGGGTGTTCGCTGCAACTATACTGAGGGTCAGATTTAATCCACAGGCAAACCATACCCTGTAAATCAGCCCCCAAGAAACAACCCTTACTCTGCTTGGACCAAGCTCTCCAAAGGCAAAAGGGGATGAAAGCCACGATGAGGAGTACAATGGATCCCAGCACAACGCCTACAATCAAGTACGGCAAGTCGCTTGAACGGGCCACCATGGCTCCTGTCCCCAGGCCACTGTGCCCACCATTGAGTGGGGGCTGCTGCTGAGGGGGCACTTTGGAGGGTGGAAGACGACCTGGCAGACCAAGAGACTTCCGAGCTGTGGAAGGAAGAGAAAGAGAATGTTAGAGACATGGCAGATGGCACAGCAGTCCAGGGATGTTAATGTTGCTGTGGAGTGGCCAGACTTCTATGGTGGCTTGAAAGAAGCACTCCTGGATGACAGGATTCCTAGGCTGATGCATATGGCAGTACAGACAAGGCCTCTGTGCTTGGCTCATAGCTCAGCCAGATCAGCTTGTGGACTGCTCAAGCAAACGCAAATCCAAAATAGCTTCTCCAGAGTGCACACTTGGACTTAATGCTGTTCCAGTCAAGACAGTGCAGCTGCTTTGAAGACAAAATGGGGCCTGCTTCTAATGCAACATGGAGTTCAGCACAGCAAGGGAAAGTTAGCCCTTCTGTTTCCAGTCACCACCTATATGATAGTCAGGAAAACAAAAGGCAACTGCTGCTCTGAGGGACAGCAATGGACTCTGCACAAAGGGTGAGCACAGACCGGGCACACTGATCAACAGTATGGACAGCCCTGTGTCTCTCTTCTCTCCAGTGCTGACTCCCCCACTTGGCTGGAGCTTGGGCAACGCACTGTCAGGCAGGGATGCTTCCTGCCCTG